TGCTGTGATGTGTCCTTCAATTCTAGAAACAAAATATCTCAATATAAAAAACATTTAGAATCTGTTTATAGTGCCATAAAATGAATAAAAGCCTCCTTTTTTGCTTCTTTTATAACTATTTTAGCTTTAGAAATTTTTCAAGTATACAATGTTCTTAGCTCTATTTCTATATTAATACCTCAAATTATTTTTCGGACTTTTTCTTTCAGTGCAAAAAAACAAAAACAAAAGGAGAAACAATGCTACAGGCTTTCTCCTAATTTTCTCTTCAGTTTCACTTTTCTTGTTGTCTGTCTGTACAATGCACCTAGTTTACTTTGGCACACTCAGGTATGCCATCAATCACCCAATTACTTTAGCTGTACATAACAGTTATACAACATAGTTTAAATATTTTAATTCTGTATATGGAGAAAACCTGAGAATAAAAGCCAGATCTCTTTATGATTTTGTGAAGATTCTGTCCCATCTCCATTTGTTTTCTCTGCTGTGATGTATTCTTGATCAGTTCAAAATAGGCTCTAACCATCAAAACATTCCTAGTTCATATTTGTACAAAAGCCCAGGATTGGGAGTCTAATTAGATTGATGGCTTAGATTCCTCTCTATTTCTTTAAGATAAAGACAATAGATTAAGACATGTAGCCTATTTCTCTCAGAAGTAGGGAACTGAAACACATTTTCTGCCATTGTCACACCAGAGTAATGGAAATAATCAAGACTAATGAAAGCCTTACCAATAACTATATTTTTCAATAAAAAGGAAATAGTATTTAAGATGTAACAAGCAAGAAAAATTGCTTCTTTTCCCTCCTTTTCCCTAGAGATGAATTATAAAAAGTAACAGAAAGTTTGTTTCATTTGCGGTGCTGATACCTTAATGTTTTCAAGTTATGATCAAATGCTGGATAAAATAAGAGAGATCCCATTAGTGGTTCAGTGTTACAGGCAAAGTAAAACAGGAACAACAAAACTCACTTTGTTAATTCTTGATCTGTGGATTCTCATTACGATAAAGGACTAAAAGGTCAATACCTGGTTCCTTATGTAACATTATGAGAAAATCAGAAGAATAGCTAGGGCAATATTTCCTTCTCTAGTGGTCACTTTATTAGGAAGCAAAAATACTATGAATTGGGTATAAGGAAAGAAAATTTAACTATTTAATAATGGTGAATTAGGTTCCAATAATTACTTAGACTAATCAGATCAATTGCAGTTCTTGATGAAAAATGCTGGTATGTTTCAATCAACATGACATGATTCACAGGAAAAAGATTTTTCTGAAAAGTCCTGTGCAAGTATTTTAAGCTAAATTAAATTTTACTTTAAAGGTGGTTGATGAGCTTTAAATTTAATAAAATATTGCTAAACTGTAGGTCACAGGGATAATCATTCATGTTTTGTTAATGTTAATTTATAGCCTACTTGGTAAAAATCTCTAGCTAAAAAATAAGGAGACCATTTTAGATTTAAATAAAAGTATTATAACTGTGTTTTAGTGGTATTCAAGGTAGAAAACCACTTTTTCAATTTACAAAATAGATTTATAAAGTTCTGGTCATATAATAAAATTTAGGAACTCATTCTTAAGAAATTGGTGGGGGATAGTTCTAAAAATCAGCTGAGTATCAAATTCAATTTTCAGACTTTACTATATGTTCAAGTAATTATTAGTTCTAATGCCAAAGTTTGAATCCTAAATCTGTCTCTCAATTACTGTGTCTTAACCACATTATCTATGTTTTTATGTTCCACTTGAAAATTTTTTTTCTTACTGTTCATTTTTTTTGGTAAGAATTAAATAATAAAATGTGTAAAGCATATGTCTGTATCTAATACTATATTTTCCAACTGTGTTAACTATTCCAAATAAATTTTTGTGGTCATCACAAAATATGAATAAAATTTAAACAAAATATAAACAAAATTATCATAAATTCAAAAATAAAGCAATAACAAATAGGATAATATACAGTATTAGTAGCACACAAGAGTCCCTTTCATGCCTACCTTTCAGTACCATATCCTTCTTTCCTACTTTAACCACTCTGCTGACATTTAGCATGCTAAGTTTTTGTCCATTTTGAACTCTATACACATAAAATTATGCAGTATAACTGGCACAATTTATTATCCATTATGGAGATTATACATACATCTTTATGGAGATTACTTATTACATATGTGTGTATATATATATATTCATATATAAATATTTGGTTTGGGGATCACACCTAGCAGTGCTCAGGTATTACTCCTGGATTTGTGCTCGAGGATAACTCCTGGAAAACTCTGGGGATCATATGAGGTCCAGGGGATTGACATGGGTTGGCAAGGCAAGCGCCCTATTTGCTGTACTATTGCTCAGGTCCCTGGATATTCTTGTTTGTCTTTCTTTTCAAATAGATGTTTTTTAAAGTGAGATATAATACTACATCTTTAAAATCCTAAAAATCCATGGGGATGGACTCTTACTAAAGTCTTCTGAATAATAAAAAAGTCAGGAGGTATCATTCGAATATTTAGAATGAATAACTATGTAAGAAATCATTACGCAAAGAGGATAATAATAAAAAAATGAAAGAAGGAATATAGTTAGAGGCTACTCAGACTCTAAAAAATCAAGACGATTGAAAATAGAAAATAATGGAAAATTGCTGAGAGTTTTTTGGAAATATCCAGCAATAATTGGACCTTAGTAATACTTGTTACACCCTTTTCTTTTTCTCATCTCAGTCATCCAGGAGAATTTCAGTGAAAAGTAAGCTGAACATCCAATTCAAAGAAAAGGAAATCAGTTATTTTTATATGTATTTTTAAAAATTTCATGACAGTGAGAGTCACAATTACAAATTTCGTTCATGACTGTGTTTCAGACATACAATGTTCCAACACCTATTCCTTCGCTAGTGTAAAAGGAAATCAGTTCTTAGTCATCATTATTGTTATTGACGTTAAAGTGAAGGAAGATTTATTGAACAAAACTTATAAAGATGTGGGGCAACGAACAGGGCTATGCTGAGAGTGTCTTGAGATACTAGACCCTGAGTGTAATGCTCTGGGCCACTAGGACTTCCTAAAAGAAGGGGATAAAAAGTGTGTTTGTGTGTGTGTGTGTGTGTGTGTGTGTATGTGTGTGTGATGGGGGATTGCAGGTTGGGAAGGAAAGGCATTTGTGTTCAAAAGAGAATAGGAACTGAAAGAGCAAGCAAGCAAATAGACTAGCAAGTGACATACATCTTGACGAAGAACAGGGAGAATAGAAGAGCAATCCAGTCCTTAGTCTTTACTGTTTGAGAACACAAAGTCCTGGGACCTGGGAGACAATACGGCTGGTAAAACGCTTGCAATGCATGCAGCAGACCCTGGTTTAATCCCTATTACTACAAATGACCCCTTGAGTACTGCCAGGAGTGATCCTAAAGTACAGCGCCAGGAATGAACCCTGGGCACCTATGGATGTGGCTGCAAAACAAAAAAAAAAAAAACAAACGGAAAAATATCGTGTAAAGTCTAACATTTATGAAGGACTTTTTCAATCAAAACACTGACTTTTGTATCTAATTAGATTGAAGTCAGTAGATTTGTTGTCAGTTTTGCTTTTCCTAATTACTAGTTTTCATTACTAGTCTTTGGGAGGCTCGCTCAGTCTCTCCACTCTAGAGTTAATATAAATTCTTTTTGTCTCAAGGGCCTATCATGAGTATCCAGTAAGAAGATATTGTAAAATGCAAATAACTTAAAGAAGTGTTATATTTTAAAAACAGGAAATAGAAATTGGGCTGGGAATGTAGTTCAGCCGTAGGGCACTTGTGTGTGTGTGTGTGTGTGTGTGTTTGTGTGTATGTGCGTGAACTCCTGTGTTGAAGTCCCGATTACACAAATAAAAAAATGAAAATTCAGATATATTACATGCTTACTATGCCAGATATATCTCATGGTACTTTTATCTAGATATGTCACTTCATTTTCAGAACAGCATTATGAAATCAGTAGTGTTAGAATGAGGACGATAGAGCAATTGCTTTTTATGGTGATTGCTTTTCACAGGCTATTTATAACCAAAGATAGAATTTTAATATAGATCTAGATTTAAGATCTTTCACCCATATGCTCCATCTATTTCATAATTCCACACTTAAATAGCAGAATTATATACCTGTATTGGAGATCTGGACTATGATTTGAAACTGTGTGTTTACTGTATCAACTATGTTCCTTTTTTTCAATTGACAATTCTAGTCATGTTCTTCATTTACATAATAAGGAGCATTATTAAAACATATCCTAAACTAAAAAAAGACTTTGGGTTTCTCCTAATTTGTAATTATTAGAAAGAAGCATATGATAAAACAAAAGGTACTTTGAAAAAAATACTAATTTAAAACCCAAATATCAAATTAGTTACTAATGGTCATACCACCCTGAATGCAAATAATCCTGTATGAAATTAGTTACTAATGATATGTTTTCAGGGGAGTTCCTAGGTGAGCACTTTCAGTGTACATTTACTGTATAATCAGTAATGTCATTTTCATAATAAAAATTCCAAATTATACATTGATGAAGAATATGTTTTCTCATGTAGTTACAACAGGTAGGGCATTTGCCCTGCACAAAGCTGACATGGGTTCGATCCCTGGCATCCCTTATGGTCCCCTGAGTACCACCAGGAGTAATTCCTGAGTGCAGAGCAAGAAGTAACCCCTGAACATGTCAGGTGTAACCCAAAAAGCAATAAAATATATATATGTATATATATATATAATTGTTTTTAAACAAAAAATAGAAAGCCAAGACTCCAGTTTTAGTACACAATTTTAAAAAACATACCCCTCACTAAGTAATGGTTTTATCTCATAAACATGTTCATATTTTTATCTAGATATTTTTAACCAAGTAAGTATAATTTAGTTTATTTAAAGAATATTCAATAGCACATTTAATGATGAACATGATGGCCATTTTCTTTCAGGCTACCTTCAGTAACACCAGTACCAAAGAAGGCTACAATGTTGATCTTACCTAAAATTCTGCTGATTTCAACTTTGTTTAGTTTACTACTTTTTGGAAGCAATGGAAATGAAGGTGTAGATGTAACTACAGCAAAAAACTCTACAAAAGGTTCCAGAATAACAGAAAACGCATCCCATCCTTTGAATGTTGAAGAAAATTCATACTCATTTGATGATAATAAAGAAAGTTCCAAAGCAAATGATACGCCTGCTTTTGATTCATCAAATAAAATACAAACAACCACAGATGTGTTGAGTAATTTGCCAACAGGTCATTCTGGGACTTTAAAACCCCGGACCACGGTTCCTACAAGCCCTCCTTTTATAGGAGACTTCGTTTCAAAACTGCCACAAAATTCATTTGGAACATCTGAAAATTCTTTACCAGTTTCTGTTCCTCCCAATGCTACATCTGCTCTCCCTTCCGAAAACTTTACTTCTATGCCCACTGCTACCATGAGCTCTGAAAATATTTCCATTATGGTTAGCATTTTCACTCCAGTATTAAATACCACCTCTGCAACCACTATAATAAAGAAACCAGAAGATTGGCTTACTACAACCAGTGAGAACATACCCTATGAAGAAACTACCACCTATCCAGATACAACTTCACAGCACACCTCAAAGTTCACCAACAATTCAAAAAATTTTCCAAATACATCTGATCCCCAAAAAGGTAAGTGTAAACAGTGCTAGCTTTCCTTTTGTGTGGAACTGAATCATGAGATTAATCATACAGATTATGTGTTATGGAATGTGCCTGACAAGAAAAAAAAGATTTCAGTAGCACAAATGTCACAATTTATTATTTTTTTTGAAGATCTATGGCAATCTTTTGAATTAGTGAAGGGCCATGGGGACTCAAGTCAGCATATCCTAGTCATAATAAGTGGAACAGAATAAGAATTGCACTAGGATGAAATAGAGTTTAAGATAGGGGCTAGTTTTTAAGATAATGAACTTGGGATAATGAACTTAAGGTAATGAGCTTAAGATAATGAATTTTTCATAGAAACTTAGGCTACCTAAAATTTCACATGCTTTAGAAGTGCTATGCACCTGAAATTTAAGAAATTTGTGTGCATTTTGAAAACTAAGGACTATTAATTTATAAATAGATACCATACAACACTTATAGGGACTTCTAAAATATTAAAAAACTCAACCGAAAATAATTTTTCTTAATTTTTAGTATAGTGTTTAAAGATACCTTAAAAATGGAATTTAGGTTTAACAAGAAAACTGTAGTGTGTGGGCTTTTAAAATGGTTTATTTAGAGGTCATGTTATATTTATAATATATTATGGGGGAATAATGGAGAGAGCGCAAAGTGGTGGAGTGCATTTATTGCATGCCGGAGTCGCTGGTTCTACCCTCAGCACTGGTTCTACCCTCAGCACTGGTTCTACCCTTCAAAGCACTGCAATGTGAATGAGATTAGGGCACTGCTGGAAATGCTCCCTGAATCAATATGTAGTTATATATAAAGATCCCTAGTATAATACCCATTATTTTTTCATGTCTTAACATATTTTTGTTTCCCAGAACTTAATATATATGCATATATATATGTATTCTCCTCTAAATTCACTGATTTTCCATTAACATACTTATGGATTATATTAATAATATATATCAAATTGTGCACATATATATCAAGATGATATATATCTGATATCTGATATATCATCTATGTATAATGATATATCAAAATGATATATTTGATAAATATACATAGCAAATCATTTAAATATATATCAAATGATATATATTTATCAAATATATATCAAATTAGTGATACATGTATCAAATTGTAGGGATGGAGTGATAACACAGCAGGTAGGGCATTTGCCTTGCATGCAGCTGACCAGGGTTTGATTTCTCTGTCGCTCTTGGAGAGCCCGGCAAGCTACCGAGAGTATCCCACATGCATGGCAGAGCCTGGCAATCTTCCTGTGGTGTATTCAATATGCCAAAAAACAGTAACAGCAATGGAGACATTACTGGTGCCTGCTTGAGCAAATCGATGAACAACGGGAGGACAGTGCTACAGTGCTACACATAAAATTGTATATATGAATTTTTGTCCAAAGCTGATAGTGTAAGAGAAGAATTTTAAATTCTGAAATTTAGGATTTCAATCCAAACATGTACATACATTTTCAATCTAGCTACAATTTTAACATTTTTTATTATATTATTACATAAAAGTATATATATATATGTATCTTTAATATAAATATGTATTCATGCATATATATGTTTTTTCTTTTTTGCTGTGGGAAATTGAACCTAGCGCCTCACACATGCAAAGTATTCACTCCATCTTAATGTAACAGAAGGTTGCTCAAAGGTAGTGATATACAGAAAGTCAAAGTTATATATTTCTGTCCTTTGAATGATTATTTTCTATTTTAAATCTGTAATTTTTTTTTTGTTTTCCAGAGAACAGAAATACAGGAGTAGTATTTGGGGCCATTTTAGGTGCTATTCTAGGTGCTTCATTTCTCAGTCTGGTTGGCTACCTTTTATGTGGGAAAAGGAAAACCGATTCATTTTCCCATCGGCGACTCTATGATGACAGAAATGAACCAGGTAAAAACAACTTTTAGAACTTCATCTTCACACAGAAGTTTTAATTGAGGATGATAATTTTATCATACTTTCTATAACAATTTCACAGGTCTATGTGATAGAAGACCATGATGTTTCCTAAGCTATTGTTTCTCAAAGAAGATATTATAATTATGAACCTATGAGTAAAATATATGAGTTAACTCTTGTTGATTGCATCACAATTGGTTTTAAGTAATAATATCAGAATTAAAATATACCTAATTGAAAGACAATAGTAGGACACTAAAAATGGATAATTTTTAGCAAATGACTTTATTCTTGCCATTTTTGATCTCTTTGTGGCACAATTTGAAAAGACTTGTTTTAACTTGGAGCACTTCTAAAATTTCACACATGGAAAAATCTCTATTAGCGATCTTAATGGTGTATAAAGCAATCACTAAATATTTGCAATACTTAGAAAATAATGTTACAAAATATCTTCTTCTTTTTACTAACTTGATAATATTTCAGCCCGCGATACCACAGAGGGTAGGGCATTAGCCTTACATGTGGCCGACCCGGGCGATTCCTTTGCCCCTCTCGATTCCTTTGCCCCTCTCGGAGAGCCTGAACAAACTACGGAGAGTATCTCGCCCGCACAGCAAAGCCTGGCAAGCTACCCATGACGTATTCGATATGCCAAACACAGTAACAAGTCTCACAATGGAGACAGTACTGGGTCCGCTTGAGCAAATCAATGAACAACGGGTGGACAGTGACAGTGACAGTGATAATATCTATGAGTAATTAATTTATCTGATGAATAAAGCACTGCTTGAGATAATTAATACAATATTAATTAGAACACAGATAAAATCATTTCAAATACTGACTCATTTCTGTTTTTAAACTCAAAAAAAAAAAAACCACACACCATTTTCTGGTTTACTCCTGTTACCATAAAAAAAAATTACATGCTTCTAAAACATTAAAACAGTTTTGTTAATTTTTATAAGTTCAGATCATGAATAGTATGCTGCTTATTTTCAATATCAAATCTATTAAAATTTAACTACATTTTGTTTACAGGCTTCTAGCAATCCATAAAATATAAAAGTAATATTTTCAAAGTAAAGAATAAAAATTCAAACAACTTGGCTTCCAAACTTCTTTAGCATTTTTTCCTTTATCTGTAACAGATGAAAATAACTTAACCTCACAAATTCGTACATGATAAGATACTATGATTAAGGTTTAGATTAATAGCTCAACCATACCACTTGTTTCACACTTTGAAACAATTCTGAGGTACCTTTCTCACATCCCTAATATTCCTGGTATTACAGTGTGTAAACAGATGGTTTCGGGAACAGATTAGAATGTGAGTATACTAAACTGAATAATAAAATTTGCTAATCTAATTAGTAATTAGTCACTGCTCTGGTGCCAAGTTATTTAAAAAATAATTCAGATCAACAGAAATAATAATTGTTCTTTAAAAACAACTAATTTCATATCTTCAATAAAAAGAATTCAAGTACATATAATTTGACTCATCAAAAGGAAGCAAACTTTTTGCAAGAAGGTTTCATCCCACCTTCAGGCTCAACCATAAAGAGCAAAATAATGGCATTATTTAAAATATGTTCTTCACTGTTATGCCAAAGGTGACAATTCTGAACATGTTGACAAGTCTGTAAAATCACGGATTCATTTAAGTCACTGAGGCATAGATCTATACATCTTCATGTAAATTCTATGGTATGCAAATATATAAGTATTTATTTTATAAATTGTCACCATCAAACAATTCTTTTGTTACTATTTTAGTTCTTCGATTAGACAATGCCCCTGAACCTTATGATATGAGTTTTGGAAATTCTAGTTATTACAACCCAAGTGTGAATGATCCGTACATTCCAACGGGCCAAGAAAATGCACGTGACGGCATCCCGATGGGTGATATACCTCCACTCCGTACCTCAGAACAAAATTAAGGATGAAAAAGGCTAACAACAGCAAGTATTGTATATCCTGGTATTTTAAAGGACCATCTTCCAAAAGCTGATGTAAGATCATTGTCATAGGGCTTCATGTCATGTGAGAGAATACTTTATCCAAAGGCCTACCTTTTCTTACATTTTTTGGGGGGGTGGGGGTGTCCTATGTTGTGTTGAAACATCTATCAAGTAAGTTTAACTTGAATTTTGGTCTTTTTTATAGTAGGAAATGTTATTGTAATCAGTTAAAACTGAAAGATTTAGCATGATAATCCTACCTGATGATTTAATTTAAAATGTAAATGCCCTAAAATTTAAAACCAAAACTATACTTGTATTACACAACAATGATAAACAACCATGGATATGCCATGATCTAAGACTGGCAGCTCTTGAAGAAAAACTATAGAATGATTTTGTAAATATTTAACTTTTAAAACTACGGGAGTTTTTATTAGAAAACAGAGTTTCTATTTATGGGAAATTTAGGAAACCAGAGTAAAAATCTTGTATTTCGGTACATATTATTTGTTGCTTACATACGGTCAACCCTTAGAATAGCCAAATTGTCAATAGTGTTTCATTAAAGTGGCCATGGAAGGAAAACCAATCCTAACTTGCAAAGTGATGGCTTCACTTCAAAGAGTAGGGGTATTCCAGCATGCATGAATTCTATTACATCTCAATTTGTTGGGTATTTAAAGTCTGAATGGAAAACAGTGGAAACTTACTTTTTACATATTATTTAGTTTTGTGATGCAAAAGTACCTTCCATATTGTAAGATGCACATAGAAACATGTTTTTATAGTGAATATAACATTGATTTAACATCCATGGAACAGACTGTGTATCTTAAAATATATGAAGTATAGTGTTTAAAAGTAAATGAATGGCAAACAAAAAATTTTTCTGAAATTTAGTTTCAGGCATGAAAATATCCAAAGTTTAGTTTACATTCTATTATGGTTTCAACTTTTTGTTAATTGCTATCTACTTTTCTTAGTATAGGAATATCTGAGTATTAAATATTAGAGGACTAACTAAATTTCTGAGAAGTTAATGTTAAAAAACAAAACAAGAAATGGGTTAGAGACTTTAATTTTCATTGATACATGGAGAATGGTTTGAGTGTATGAATGTGTGTGTATGTGTGTAAGCATGCACATGGATGTGTGCATATGAAGAAACAGAAATAAGGTCAGAAAATGAGAGTTCAGAAGACATGAAGGAAAATACTTACCCCATATGGCCATAAAAATAGCAAAGAAGACTGTCCCTCCATTATCAAATAGATATGTCACCTTAGCAGAAAATAAACAAAGGCATTAGTCTCACTTTTTGTCATAAATATTCAGAGATTACTGTTTACATGTAGATACTGAATGATTCTTTTTTCCAAATAGAATTTTGTTGTTTTGTAATCGCAAATACAAGGTACGAGATCCTTTCATGGATTCTGTAACTGATCAGATGAAGGAATAGCATTTTTCTTACTTTTTTTTCTATCTCACCTCGATTTCCATTTGGATTATATCTTCTTATCTACTTAGAACTGGTTCTAACATATTGAGGACGTGTCTGTGAACTAGGGTCAAACTACAGCGTGAGTCCAAGTGAGGTTTTCAGGCACGATATACTTGTTGCATTTCCTCTATGCAAACCTCTGGAGTCAGGGGTGTTGTGAAAGACAGAATTCTGCCAGTAAGTCAACACTTCCAATGGAAAGGTATCACAGTGCTAGCCAAACTCTGATACCTTTCAGAATGTGCCATGCTATAAGAGGCAATGTGAATCTATTATTATTTTAAGAGGTTTCATAAATCAATGGACATTTAGGATATTGTTTGAATCAGCTATTAATTACCTGAAGTTCTGTACATAACTTTCTTCAGTTATACATTGTTACTGAATAAAATGTTCAGGGTTATATGATTGTTTGATTTTAATAAAATTTATATTCAATATATTTTGTATTTTCATTTGTATAATGTATTTTTACATTTGCAAGTTAGTGAGAGAGATTAAACTAATATAGTCAAAGAAAAAGATGTTTGGCAGTCATATAAATGTCACAGAAAATTGGGATACTGTTTGTACCAGTGAATTGTTGATGAGATTCTAAAAAGCATTACTATGAATGGTTTATCCTTCTCTGAGGGTAACATTTAGGGTTGCTCGATACAGGCACAAAGACAGCACTAACATGTATTTTAATTTTGGCATAAAGGATACACTGCAAAACATCATCTAAAAGATAAAGATTAGAGGCATTTTCCTGAAATATGACATTATTATGATATCATCAGAGGTGCTATTTTAATGATGTGTAGGCAAGAAAGGTATCATGTTATAAATATCTCTACAATTCTATGATTGTTATGACTTGGGAGATCTAAAGATGTTGTAAATATTTTTAGTGATGTCATCAGTAGGCTTTCTGTACAGAAGAGAAGAAGTTTATTAGAAATTTTTCTTCAGAGCTCATAAAATTACTCTCAGCAGGGGCATCCAGATCTTTTGCTTCCCAGCTCATCCCACAGAGTTACCTGCTGTTGCCAAGCAGCTGAACAGCTGCCTCTGATTCTTTGTGAACAGACCTTGTACAGGAAACAGCCTCTGAGAGTTCGAACAGAGGCACTTAAAGGTCACCAAATTATAATGGTTCATGCCTGCTCCAGAAATAGCCCTGCTTTTTAGAAAAGTAACAAATGAAATGCCACACTCACAACAATTGTGTTTGTGTTGTATGAACTTGATTTCTCAGAGCTCAAGAAATATTTTCCTTCAGAAGTCTTTTCATTTTTTTTCTTGGCTCATTTTTAAAATCAGGCATGTTTTTCTCAATATTTTGAGACAATAACTTTGAGACAATTACTTTGAGACAATAACATCCAAGTGACACAAGAGGTATATTTATATTTAACTGCATAATGTGGTATTATAATCATGTAACAAGAGAATGGGTTTCCAGTATATTCAGAACTTGCTTTTTAGAGAAATGTAACAATAAGCAGTGTTACAATATGCAATCATTGGTCATACTTACTGTATGTCTACTAGACAAGTCTACCATGTTTCTACATGTGGGATGTATTGTGAACTGCAGAGGATGGGACACAAGAACTATTAGAAACCTGTGGATAAAGCTTGACGTGCCAAGTGCTTCATTTATAGAGCTGACTAACATAAGAGTTGCTGAATGAAATTTTGAGGGTGGATTTTAGCAGATTCTACCCTGTACAAAAGCTATTATGAGGGGCTGTGGGGCAGAACATTACAATTTTGGCTGAAGGTGAGCCTGTATTTTTTTTTGTTAGGCTTTATTTCTTGGTCAGAGTAACTCTATATAGCTCCTATATTCCTTGCAACAAGACACAAACTTCATTAAACAGAACCTTAATTAGGGTATCTCCTACTTTCTAAACTTATTTATTGATTTAGGGGAGAGAATTTTTTTAAATGCTGTTCTAAGATGTGTGAAATATGATTTAAAATGTTATTTCACTCCTTAAGCAAGAAGAGTAGATCTTGAAGTATCACAGGGGGCCTCGAGTTTGTCTGTGGTATAGTACAAGGTATCTGTATATATGGAAGCCACTAGAGCCAACACCACTGAAAGCATGGGGTCCAAATTAATTTGTAAAATGAATCCTTTAGGGTAGACAGAGAGTACAGCAGATAGGGTGCTTGTCTTGCTTGCAGCCAACCCAGATTTGATCCCTGACACCCTGAACTGAATGACATATGACATGCTCAAGAGAGATCCCAGAGTATAGAGCCAGAAGTAAACCTTGAGGACAGCCAGCGTGACCCCTAAAGCAATAATTAAGAAACATAAAGATGTATCCGTCAAGGAGTGAGGTTGTGGGGTTGGAGGGAACCTAAGAGTCATTGGTAAGAGAATTAGGACACAGGGTGTTGAGATTGGAGGTATGACATTGTGTGTCTAAGACCCCTTTGTCCTGTCACGTCATATACTTAGGTATATTTAACACCTACATTTAAGCATCTAGAAATTACTGCAGTTCTTAAACGCAGTAATAAATATGGGAGCAAACATATATATGATTATTTTGGCCACAGCCAGTAGTATCATGGCTATACCAAGTAGTGTCAGGGATATACCTGTTAGTATCAGAGCTTACTCCTGGCTCTGCTTTCAGAGATCACTCCTGGTGGGCTCAGCAGACCATATGGGATGCTGAGGACTGAATGTGGGTTGACAACATTCAAAGTAAACATTCTACCTGCTGTGCTATTGCTCCAGGCCCTGTGGGAACATATTTTACCAAAGAAACAAGTAAACCAATTTAGAATCATCTTCCCACATGACCTATCTACATCATCTAGGACCCTGTCAGACTTTATAGAATTCAATACCCATTATAACAACTAACAAGTTATAATTTGCTTAATTTTATTCAAAATGTATATATTTTCTTAGTAATTTAAAAAGCACATTTTATAAAAATTTGTTCCTATTATTATTAAAATACTATCTAAGTACACTAATATGTTTCCTGATAGCTTCTCCTTTTAATGTTTTAGAAATTTGGGAATTTAAGTATTTTGCAATTAATGGTTAGTGATTTCTCTCTTAAGCAGTTGACACAATATCAACTATTATCACATTATACTAGGATTCTTTCTTAAAACATGTGTTTGTTTGGGGCCCACGTGCAGAGGTGCTCAGGGCTTACTCCTAACTCTATGGTCATTGATCACAACTGACAGGGCTTGGGGGACCATATAGGGTGACAAGGATTGAATCTAGGGTGGCTGTGTGCAAGGCAAATGCCTTGCCCCCTGTACTATCACTCTAGCTACCAAGATTCTTATTTTAGGCAAAATACATAGGTAAAAGAATCATTTTTAATTATGTAAAACATGATTAAATCATTGAAATGCTCACATCTTGACTGCAGTGATGACTCTAGAGGTGCACAGATATGTATGTAGGAAATGAAGTATCAAATTACATATTTAAAAATATAATGATATATTAAATACAAAAATAATCAGGGCTTACTCCTAACTCTATGGGAGCAAAAATAATTAGGGCAAACTCCTAACTCGATGGGAGCAAACATATATAAATAATCATAAATTCTGTTTCCCAAACTTGTATGTTCTTTGGAAACACTTGGGAAATTATGCAGTATACTGATATCTAGTTTCCCAGTAAAAGAGTTTCACTTAATTACTCTTGGATCGGACTTAAACTTCAGTAGCTATAAAAACTTTTTGTATAATTCAAACAGGCATCAATCTGATAACTTTGGTACATTATTTTATTTTCTCTGCAAAATTAGAATTATTGAAATTGTAAGTGTCTATACAGTATTCAAAATTCTGACAATAGAAATAATCAATTTATCTTAAAACAAATCTATACATCAATCCAAATGGTAGTTTATTGTGACTGCAATAATCTGTGATTAAACACAAAGGAAGTCAAAGGTAATAAAGTAAAAACATACTAATTTATAGTTGCTACCTTGTGACATTTTATTCAATTGTTAATGATATCGATATAAAATCCTTGGGAACATCACATTTTGGTAAAAATTTATTGAAGAAATTTTTCACAACTGTTTCTTAGACCAAGTAGAGCTCAGGGAGAGAGAGAGAGAGAGAGAGAGAGAGAGAGAGAGAGAGAGAGAGAGAGAGAGAGAGAGGGAGGAAGGAGGGAGAGAGAGGAGGGAGAAAGAGACAGACAGATAGACAGACAGACAGAGACAGACACAGAGAGACAGAGAGACAGAGAGCAGTGAGTCCTCACCCACCTTGGCGTAGATACAGCTGTCATTGAGTCTCTGCAGTGAGCAGTTCTTCTCACAGAGAGGACACATGAAGACTTCAGTAGCCTTGCAGATTTCTTGGCTTAAAAAATAAAAGAAGAAAAAGAAAGCGTGAACCTACTTGCATACAAGGTGCTTAGCCCCTATGACCAACTCTGAGGGAAACTGTTGAAAAGAAAGTAAAAGAAGAAAAAAATGTGTAGATCAGTAGGCAGGTAAGAAAGGATGTAAGGAAATAGCACCAGCTTGGAAGTTAAGGACTATTTTTGTGTGTGTGAAGCAAGATAGTTTTTATTGAAACTACTTAGAAAAAATGCCAGAGCCTGGCAAGCTACCTGTGCCATATTTGATATGCCGAAAACTGTAACAATAACAGGCCTCACTCCCCTGAAAGAGCCTCCAATACGACAGTGTTAGGAAGGATAAGTAAGGAGAGGCTGCTAAAATCTCAAGGCTGGGACAAATGGAGACATTACTGGTGCACGCTCGAGCAAATGGAAGATCAATGAGATAAGAAGTGAACAGGTGATATTTAGAAAAATGTGAATGGAGAGAAAGAGAGAAGCATGACAGAGAATATAGGCTTCTCCAGTGGAGAAATAGACAAGCAAAAGAAACAGAGAGATAAGCAAGATATGTGTTCAAGGGAGAACACAGGCTTGAAGAGGAAGCAAATTTAGAATTTTAAATGGAAGCTTTTGTTTGATCTTTGTTTTTGGATCTATTTTCTAAGCTCATGTAATGATAAAATGTTAAAGGACCTTGTCGGGCTTTGTTATCAAGACAATGATATTTTCCCCTCTCTCATTTTCTCTGTCCTTCTCTCTCTCCACCCTCATCTTTCTCTTATATTTCATCATTTTTAAATTTTATTTATTTATTTTTATTTTTATTAGTGAGACACCATGAGGTGCAGTTGTATACTTACAAATTTTCATGCTTGGGTTTCAGTTATATAATGATCAAATACCCATCCCTCCACCAGTGCCCATTTCCCACCACCACGGATCCCAGTTGTTTGTTCATTGCAGCACTCTTTACAATAGTCAGAATCTGGAAAAAACCTGAGTGCCCGAGAACAGATGACTGGTTAAAGAAACTTGGTACATTTACACAATGGAGTACTATGTAGCTGTTAGAAAAGACAAAGTCATAAAAGTTATATTTCATCTTTTAGAATATGTATTTGGTTCTTTGATTTTAGGTCTGTTACCTTTTAAAAATCAAAGAATATAGGACCTGGGATACGTCATATAAAAAAATAGTCATCAGTTAGTGCTCAAGTCTAGGATTCCCTGACCCAAACCAGTTTTAGATTCCTGGCACCTGGTCTCTCAAGCATCACTGGAAGCAGAGCCGGAGACCCCCAAACAAGACTGAGGTATCCCAGGTATCCCTGGTACTTGCAGGGTCAGACACCTTGGACTTTGTTTTGAAACACAAGCCTCTCTGGAGAAGAATTGCAGGTGAGGTCCCTAGAACTCCTGAACACTATATGGGAGTCCTGATACCCAAAATAAACACAAATGTAAATGAACAGCAACACATATATTACATATAGTTTTGTGACAGGTACAGAGAATTCATAATAATTTCTCAAAATATCAGCCTGAGAAACCATGGCACTGGGTATAATCTCAAGCCAAAGCATGAATGAGTAGTCGGTAATGATACTCTCAAGTAAGTGCTTAGTTGAGCAAACATAGGTTCTTGCCCATTAAGCAAGTGTTCCTGCAATATCCTGAAATTATAAATATTTTTTTGACTGAGAGAAAGCAAATATTTAATTTAAATGACTTGCTCAAGGTCTCATAGCTAATAAGAAAAGCTCCAGGAACTGAGTTGAAGATTGCAGATTATAGGTTCAGTTCTTCATTAACTATAATACTGTTGTTGTAGAAGCTGGAGCAATAGCACAGTGGGTAAGGTGTTTACCTTGCACATAGTCAACCTGGGTTTGATTCCCAGCATCCCATATGGTCCCCTGAGTACCTCCAGGAGTGATTTCTGAGTGCAGAGCCAGGAGTAATCCCTGTGCGTCGCCAGGTGTGACCCCCCTTCTCCGCTACCCCCCAAAAACACTGTTGTTCTAGATACCTAAAGCATTTAGTTGGACTAAAATATTTATTTTATATTAAGAGGAAAATTATTATAAAAGAGATTAATGCTAGAATGTACCTGACTTGGGTTTGAACTCTGGAACTCTATGGTTCCAGAGCATTGCCGGGTATAGCTGTGGTACCTCTGAGCTCTGCTGGGTGTGGCAGCAAGAGGTGGAAGTAATCTCTAGCACCACAGATCACAAGCAGCATCCAAGGTGCCTGCACTGAACCACTAAGATGGTTGGATCACAACGGGCTTGTGAGGCCCGCAGATTTACTGAGCATCACATGGGAGGTTAACTTTTCAGGCAAAAACAAACAAAATCCAGCTGATGACAAAGTGGGTCTTATGTATTTTATAAATTTTCTGCTTTCATGCACTTTATATTGACATAATCAAGATGTGTCTATGAAGTAGGATAGTCATTTTAAAAATTCAACAGAAGGAGAAAATTAGGCTGAGAATGAAGCTCAATGAAGAGTGCTTTCTTTGCCTGTGTGAGATCCTGAGCCCAATCCCTGGCACTCAAACAGGAAAAAGAAACAGAGAGAGAGAGAGAGAGAGAGAGAGAGAGAGAGAGAGAGAGAGAGAGAGAGAGAGAGAGAGAGTTATATCCCCTCTTAGTATACCATTGAAAAAAAGAACAGTTACCACCACTTTTAGATAATAGGTGGAATTCATTTGTCCATTTGGGGGTGATTAGACCCACTCAAGGGTCTTGCTGTGTCTGTGTAATCCTCTAGGAAGACAAAGCAGAGAACATGACTTTTGATGAAAAAACATTTTTGGGAAATGTGAAAATATACAAGCAAAACATGGCTTCATAATCAGCTACAAACACTACAGAAATGCAAATAAAATCATGGTAAGATAAGCTGTTACCGCATACCTGTTAAGGTATCTATTACAAAAATAAGATAAATATCAGCAAGCATGTGGAACAACTGGAATGTTTGTACATTTTGAAATGGGGCTTAAAGTAGTGAAGTCAATATGAAAAGTAATATTAAAACCATAGTGTACATAGTTCTATACTAGTCAGTAACAGGACAAATACATGATTGCAACTGTGAGGTACTTAAAATAGTTTAATTTGAAACAGAACTGTGGTGGGCAGGTATTAAGGTTGTTTGACAGGGATTAAGCTTATTTACATAAGATGAATAACTTCTATTTATCTGCTATATAATTCTACACAATAGTTACCTAATTATAATTAACTATAAAGAGGTAAACCATTAACTTCACTTACCACTTTACAAAAATATCAGATACAGATCTAAAACAATGAATGAAACAACTACTGTATATATTCTCCAAGTCATTTATCTCCTCAAGGATCAATACCTTTGTCTCTGATATGCTTTAATATTAAACTAATAAAGCATAAAAACATTTATAATGTGCCTGGCACATCTGAAGCATCTGATAAATAAAAAGAAAAAAAACTTTATTAGTAAGAATACTATCAGGAAAGGGTTTGGAATGTCTTTTAGAACCCCATCAATTTGAAAATCTGGTGGACTATATAAATTTCTTAGTGAATTCCAATGCTTACAACATAATACTGAATCAGAAAGTTAGTATACCTGATCTATGTTCAACACCTACAGGTTGTGAGGAATTTACAACCTATAGGTTGTGAGGAAATTACATTTCCCCATTTGCTCATTTATTTATTTATATGATATAAGCTTTCCCTGGCACAAATTCCACAAAATCTGATTATGTAAGTCCAAAGAAAACATGCTAATATATAAATTTACAGTTATACACCACAAATAATCTACATAATTCTATAATTTGTTTCCATAATTCTCTTATTACATACTTCTACAAATTAACATTAAGAAACATAACACAAATTTACATGACTATAACTGGCAGAAGGATAAAAGTATAAACCATATCTGCAGTTTTAACATTTTGTTACTCAACAACCAATAAAGAGCTTAATAAAGTAATACTAAAACATAGCAACACAAAATATCAACCCCTAATCCTAATGCCACCTGCCAGGGTAACACCTACGACTTAACCATGTCTGACACCTTGAATGGGAAATTTCAGCCCCATGAAATTTTGCAAGCTGAGATATTCAGTGACGATTATCTTGGTTTAGAATAGAAAGTCTGACAAGATCTTAATTATAGTGCAACAGAAGTAGCAGTAATATAATACCATAAAGCACTGAAGAAAAGAATTTGCTAATGCCTTTTAAAACATTCCTTATTCTCAGAGGTTAGAGAATACTTATCTCATACAAAGGAAGGCTAATTTACTTCAGTGGTACATAGATCAATAGGAACAGCAAATCTATTCATTTCACTGTCTTTTGTTCCTTTTTAACTTAGAAGAGGTGTAGGGGGAAATCTATTTAATATGGTAAAACTCTGTGAATATGTTTTCCATGGAACCAAGTTGTACAGCACTTGTCTAAAATCACTATTTTTATTAGTTCATTTAAAAAGTGTTTTTCTAAAATCTTAAAATCACTACACAAAATCTATTAGAACATTCACATGCTCAAGCAACTTTACTTCCAGGTATGGAAATGAAATAAAGATAAGAACTAAGGAATCACTGAAACCTCCATGTTAATTGCAGCATTGCTTGCAATAGCAAAGATACATGAACAACCTAAACTTCCTTTATCAGCAGATAAATGAAAAAATATATATATAATAGATACATGAATATCATGAAGAGAAAAGTGTTGTTCAGTCAGGAGAAAGAGAGAAATTCTGCCATTTGTTACATGGATGAGCTCTAAGAATGTTATAGAGCCAAACACAAAAATAGAGAATAAGGCAGTTTATAACTGTATTTCTTATCTCAACATCAGCATTTCCGTACAAAAGTCTCCTAACTAGAGCAGTTCTTATTACACACCATATAAATAGATGTCCAAAAAAGTGTCGATATTTCTAGTGGGGAAAAGTTTGTACATGAATCTATATACCAGAGTGGGTATAAGTTTTCAAAATTCTGAAATAAACCCGTGGCTAAAATAAATATTTATTCCCTACATTTATTTATTTACATACAGTTATCATTTGACTTTCATAAAGAACAAGGAAGATCTTTAACTGTCTTTTCCATCATCAGAAAAAAGGAATATTCGTACTCAAGGATGGTAGTGAAGCTTGTATAACATGGAACCACATATTTAGAATGTCTTTATTATGAAAGAAAGACATTTAAATATCATAGCTATTATAATTATTTCAACAGTGTATTAAAAATAATCTAGATTATATATATGCAACTGATTGCTTTGCAAACAAAAATTTCACAAAACCATAGTATTGTGGAATTGTTATCTGGATGATATAAACACAGATTGATGTAAAGAGAAGTTGTCTTGAACTTAACCAAGAAAATTAGCATATAAAGCATGTATCTTTTTCAACCTTGTCATTTATATACAGTGGCCAACCATGTGAAATCCATGGGCCCAGGCCACTTCTGTTGATGATCTATAAACCTTTTCTATTTTTACTGTTATTTATATATTTTTATATTATTTTACTCTTTTCCTCTATGATTTACTGTTTCCCTCTATGAAATCATAGAGGGAAATATATGTATATATATATATATAGAGAGAGAGAGAGAGAGAGAGAGAGAGACGAATAGATACATATATATGTGTGTGTATGTGTGTCTCTCTCTATCTATCTGTCTATCTCTCTCTCCATATATATATATATATATATATATATATATATATATATATATATGAGCCCGGAAAGCTACTGAGAGTATCCCACCTGCATGGCAGAGCCTGGAAAGCTACCGGTGGTGTATTTGATATGCCAAAAACAGTAACAATAACAAGTCTCATTCCCCTGACCCTGAAAGCACCTCTAATATGGCAGCATTCAGAAAGACAAGTAAGGAGAGGCTGCTAAAATCTCAAGGCTGGGACGAATGGAGACCTTACTGGCATCCGCTCGAGTAAATCGATGACAATGGGGTGACAGTGATACAGTGGTGTTACTGTTATCTATATATTCAACCATGTGAAACTGAGGGTGCCAGGCCACTCCTGGTGATGCTCTGCCTGGTGGAGAAGGACAGATAATTTGGGGCTTAGAGCAGATGACAGTGTGCATCTATGTCTAAGCAGTGCGGAGGGACAACCAGGATTGCACAAAAAAATCCTCAGGGCTACCAGAGAAACTCTACCCCATAGGCCCCAGGGCAGTGATGCATTCATTGGCAGGATTCAAACTTAGGGTTTCACACATGCTATAAATGTACTCGATCACTTAAGGTACCTTTCTGCCCCTTGCACCAAAGAAATCAAAGAAAGAAAAAAAAAGACTAGATAGTAAGTGAATTAGTTCTAGGATATGTTTTTTGTTTATTTGTTTGTTTGGTTTTGGAGCTGCAGCCAGCTATGCTCAGGGTTTACTTCTGGCTCTATGCTCAGGGATCACACCTGGTTGACTTAGAGGATCATATAGTGTGCCAGGGATTGAACCCAGGTGGGTGGAATGCAAGGAAATTTCCTTACCGGCTGCCCTATTGCTTCAGTCCCAACTACCGCTTATTTTTACAGTGAGAATTATCATGGAAGAATGTTTGCTCTAACAGAAAGAATGTCCAATACTTTGTTGAAAAATTATGCTTACCTTACTTGGCTTGTATTCATTGTCAGTATTCCGTAGAAGAATACACACAAGCCAACAATTGCTGCAGGAATCAGCATTCCAGTGTACCATCCTAGCCAGGCAAAATAGAGCCCAATCTTCTCACCAAAGTACAGCCTATGGAAGAAAGCAAATCTTGTAGGCCAACGACAGCTAAACTGAAAATATTGATGTTATATCAATTCATAATTTCAGATATATACCAGAGGCTGCCAATTTAGTTCCCTGTCAGCTCCATCTGGGGTACCCTAGTACTTCTGGCTGCCAATGAACCTAATATTGGCGACATTATTTATTCCTATTTTAGGGTCAAAAGTATAAAATACGCTTATTTCTGTCAAATGTGATGACTTATAAAGAATTTTCTAAGTTAATGTAAATTTCTTTTCTCTTTTCCAAGAAGTGTTTCTTGTTGTCTTTCATACACAAAAATGTGTTAAATCACAGTATTTCAAGTAAGTTAGAAAAAAGTTTCCTCGAGGGATACACCCCTGAGTAGAAATTTGAATTCTGTTCATTTATACCCTTGGTCAGACACCAAGCTAAAGACAGTGTCAAGTCTTCCTCAGCAATCCTCATCTTTGCAGTTCCTAGAAGCACATGGTTCTCTCCTTAGTTAATGCCATTTTCTCAGTTTAGAATACTACATTTCACAATCTTCTGCGGTCTAGCTTGCACTTATCCATAACCTTATGTCACTTCTTCTAGGAAGTCTTTCATATCACCACTCTAGTCCAAGATTAGATATTCCTGCTCTTACTCCCACACAATTCTCACCTGCATTTCACTGTCCTAAATTTATCACACTTAAAGGAATTAAGTGACATTCTTTTTCCTCCCACAAAACTGCAAGCTCCTCGGAAGTCGATCTATCTCCTGTTTCTCTAGCACTCGCCCAAGGAAATACTGAATAAAGTTAAGTGAATGACAGTATTTTATTTTTCGTCAGTTGATGAACAGCTTATATAGAAATGTCATATGAATAAAGTCGGTCTAATAACTATGCAATTGCTCTCTCTTCACCAGGTCTACTGGTCTAAATAATACTAATTATTAGTGGTTTATAAACAATTCTCCACTACTGTTTTATCTCCACCTTCTACTTAACATATTTTAAGTTCAATTATTTCAAAGATTGCATTTACAGTTCATTTGGGAATACTGACTGTGCTGTGATTCTGGCTAGAAATAAAATTCTTTGTCTTTTTTTCCTGTAATAGAACTTCTTATTCTAAAACTCATTCTCTGTCTACTTAATTATCTGTGTTGCGACAACTAAAATTTATTCATATTCTGATTGGGACAGATATAAAGTTGTCCTTCATTACATATCATTTGTATATTTTTTGTCTCTTTCATTTAATTCTCTCTAGTGACATATAACAATAGTCTAGTCATTTATTATATAGTGATACTGCTCTACTTTGAGATGAAATCTTTATTGCATGAACAGCTATATTATAAAGGCATTAGTTCCTTTAATTGTGTGTTTCTGTGTGGGATGGTTTTGTGTTTTTAGCACGTTACTAACATAATGAAATATCTTTATAGTAAAAATTATTGAGATTGGGCCTATAACTATTATAGACAGGACTGCTTATACAAATAATTTAGCACTGTAGCACTGTCTTCCATTGTTCATCGATTTACTTGAGTGGGCACCAGTAATGTCTCCATTGTGAGACTTGTTGCTCCCGTTTTCTGGCATATCAAATGCACCACAGGGAGCTTGCCAGGCTCTGCCATGTGATACAAATAATATTAAACATTTTTACCACACAGTGTTGAAGGTAAAGAAAAGCCATTATTTAACTAGAGTATAATCACATCAGTTATAGTAGGTTCTTGAAGTGCTTCTTAGAGGTATTTCAAAATAGATGAAGGCAAATTAACCTGGTGTTACTACTTATGCCACTCCTCCATACATTCCAAACTTAGTGAATTTTTGTTTTTACTCATTTATACATTAGTACCCTAAGAACAAAGTCATTTAATTAGCTCCTGCAACTGAAATAATTTCTTTTTTAATATATATTTTATTTTCATAAAAGTAGTTCACAATAGTTCATTACAGATAATAGTCAAAGACCAATCCCTCCGCCACGCACCTTCCCACCACAATAAGAGGAAACTGTGTGAAGATTGCTGTATTTCCTTCTGGAACCTGAAAAAATTTCTATCATAGAATGAACACATGTCCAATTCAACTATTTTAGAGAAGATTATTTTATTTAAATTTAAAATTAAATCATTCTGATCTCTACATGAAAAATTACAGAAATAAAATAACACGCAATTATTTTAGTCAGCAAGTTTTGCCACAATTTTGAAATGCCCTCTGCAAATTCAAGAAAATTCCATTTGGCTAGAAACAAAATAGATTTTGACCACTCAATATTTGAGTTTGTGATTAGATGTAAAAAAAATCCCTAAAAAACTTTCCCAGAAATGTTTGCTTATACACCAAATAAAGGTGTTGGGAGGATCCTCCCAGGAAGCGTGCTGAAAGTAGACTATAGACCAAACATTATTGTCACCCATTGCCTCTTTTGCAAACCACAACACCCAATAAGAGAGAACAAAAGGGAATGCCCTGCCACAGAGGCAGGGTGGGATGGGGGATGGGGGGTGGGAGGGAGGCTGGGATCCGTGGTGGTGGGAAGTGGGCACTGGTGGAGGGATGGGTGTTTGATCATTGTGTAACTGAAACCCAAGCACAAAAATTTGTAAGTCTACAACTGTACCTCATATGTCTCACTAATAAAAAAAAGAAGAAACATTTGCTTATAAAAAAGAAAATGAATTGTCAGATCCTCACTCTTCATCGACTATCAAACTGTCCTTTTGAGCAGGATAGTAAATAGGCATTTCCTGTTTTCCTGTGGGTTTTTTACATTCATAATGAAAGTATTTAAAAAACTAAAACCCTCAAAACCCTCTTACTCATTACAGAGTGGAAGTAACGTGATTAGATATCTATATTAAAAAATGTATACTTATGGAAACAAGTTAACTACAAGTAAGTAAAATGTCAAAGATTTTAAGGTTTGCTTTCTCTAGGTGTTACAAAACTAGGTCATGTATGCATTTTGTGCTTAAGAGCACATAGTTTAATCTGTTTGCATGTTATCACTATTTCAGTTTGAGTAACAAGAAAGTTCTCTAAAGCAGTAACCTGCTGTGATACCTTTCACAGTCTTTTAAGGTCTTAGTATTAAGTGGGATATTTATTCAATTCCCCTCCCCATGAACACAAAAAATGTATGACTTGCATATGCAAAATTCTCCTTATAAATCAAGAGCCAGGACATAACTCACCTAAAAATACAAGCTGCTTGCTATAATAACTTGCAGTAGCATTAGCAATGTATCTTATCTATAAGAGAATCATTGATGCTAAAATGCTTTCTGGAAAAATATAATTGCGTCTTAATTCTTTTGCTGTTGTTGTTGTTTGTTCATTTTTTGAGTCATACCCAGGAGTGTTCAGGACTTTCTCCTGCTTCTCCACTCAGGGATCACCGCTGAAGGGCTCAGTGGATCATAGAGAATGCCAGGGATTGAACCCAGGTAGACCGCATGCAGGGCAAATGCCATACCTGCTGTACTATTGTTCTGGCCCCACACATTAATTCTCAGTATTCATACAGTGCTCCTATATCAATAAAATAATTTCTTCTATGTAAATAAGAATGTTAGAATCTGTCATAACTGACAGATCAAAGCATCCTGATTCTAAATATACTGAAGTACTCAATGCTTGAAATAAAAATAATTTGTTATTAGATATTATGATTTGCTGGACCAGATCCATCACCAGTATCTTCTTTTCATTATGTGATCGAGGTGCCCACCCTCTATGGACTTCGTTACCCATAGTTCTTTCTTCCAGCCTCTTAATGGGCTTGGTGGCCAAGTGAAGACACCAGAAGGAGATGTAACAAAGAGTTGCGGGGGGACTGGGTTACTTATTCTGGGTTGCTTATTCCCTGACTTTCTCTTTTTGGGGGGTTGTTGTTTTTTTCTTCCATGCTTTATTCCTACTGCATAGCATGATTTCTGTCCGGTTAGTCCCTATTTCAGTAGAATAATTTTTGTTCCATTCACCAATTGCTTTTTTCCTTTTCCCCTCCAGATCTACGTTTGATAATATCATCTAGCTAGTTCCACAAGTTTTATCACCATTTATGAACTCTCATGACCCTATTTACACTTTTGCAAATAGTTATTTTATTAAATTCTCTGCAAATAGTTCAGTATTCAATCGATGTCCTGTTAGGAAATTGATATAACTATGAGTTATTTTTGATATTAAAAAAATTCAAAGTAATTGTATCATAAATTAATTTTATCTTTTTATTCCCACTATAAGTACTTAGGGATTTTAATCATTTTAGGATAATTTCCTGATTAAAAAATGGCATAAATCATATCATTATAAATATTACAGCACATCAAGACTGGGGAAAGTTGAATGTATTTTGCTCATTAGAATAGACTTCCTAGAGCCGGAGTGATAGCACAGTGACTAGGGCACTTTCCTTGCAGAAGGTCGACCTGGGTTCAATCCCGGGCATCCCATATGGTCCCCCAAGCACCATCAGGAGTAATTCCTGAGTACAGAGCCTGATGTGACCAAAAAAGGAAATACATATATATACATATTCATACACACACACATATATATGTATATATATATATACACTTTCTGCACTAGAGTAATTAGCCAGTAGATTTGATGATATATATTATGTATATATATATATATACACACATATATACACATATATACACACAAATACACACATGTGTATGTGTATACATATATGTCCATGTGTGGAAGTGTTACACAATGTTCTCTCTGTTCTTAGATTCAGTCTTTGCACTTTTGCCTTTATTTTCTATTTTGGTTTGTTTTCATGGGTAAATAGATTACACAGAACCCCCTGTATATTTGTTTTCCCTTGTATATTCTTTCTGACTATTTGGTCGGTGGTATTAAAAGACTTGTAAGTAGGTAGATGTTAAGTAGATGGACAGGAGTAGCCAAAATCCCTTACCTTATTGTGACTTATTCACTTAGGCAGCCCGAGAGAATCATGCCTTCTATCAGATCTACTTTCTAAGTAGCCCTTGTCATGAATAGCATAGCCCCGTGATCCAGGATTAGATACTGAAGATTAGTTTATCCCATTTACCTTCAGCCTTAATTTTTATCAGCAATTTTCTATAGTGGCTAATCTCTTGTTGCCTCATTATTTGTTTTATGTCTTAATTTTCTGATCTCAGGGTAATCAATTTCCTGTTTCTTTTTACTGATATGACCTGAAATATCTTATTTTTTATTCTATCATGCTTTTATCATTGATTTGGAAGGTAAATAATTTCAATTTTAAGGAAATGATAAAAAAGACAAGATAAAACCACTTTAGGTTCTTTTGCTGTACCTGATTAAATCCAGGGGTTGATGCTTATACCACATTCCCCAGCGAGCCCAGCGCTCATATAATAGATGTCTATTATTCTGAGGTCCATGAGTTTTGATAGGCTGGTTGCTCTTGTAGGCTCCCTAAAACAGATAAAATTCACATTATTTGGAGGAAACTTAAACTGACTTGTGATTTCCAGGGTTATTTTTTCTCTATGAAGTAATTTAACAATTCGTTAGAATCTTCTGAAATTGATGACTTAAACCCACCACCAGAATAAATTGCTAGACAGACATATTTATATATTCCTTTTTTGTTGAGATATTCTGATAATTTCTTAAACTTTAAAAAAATTCTTTAAAGAAACACTAATAAGCTCACTTATCAAATCAATTAAAAAATTATGTTTCACTGTTTGGAACTTAAGGTTGTTTAATAAACACATTGTCTACCATCATCACTGAAAGACATTTTTTGTTTGTTGTGGGGCCAAATTTTGTGATTTTCAAGATTCATTACTGGCTCTGCACCCACAGATCACTCCTGGCAGGATTCAGGGGACCATATGTGGTGATGGGTATAGAACTAGAGTTGGCAACATACAAGGCAAATCCCTGCCTGCTGTACCATCTTTCCAAGATGAAATACATTTCTTAATCTTTACTGCACAAGTTTAAAAGTAATATTCTGCTTTAACATATGACCAAATCCTAGAAAATATTTTTTTGGAAGAAGAATTGACATCATGGGGGGAAATGGCCATCATTCCAAATGTCAAAGAATGAGAAAATTTTGATTCAGTTTTAACCTACCTGAACCTTATAACCTATTTAAATGTTACGATCCCTTCCTGACAAATATCACTATTCAATCCCTTCACCTCATCATTGTCCTCATCCTTTTTTAACCTATCACTCACTCATAAAACTCTTGTCTTTTTTCTATCATCAGGGCAGTTATTACATTTCTATGTAACTTTGTATATTCTGAATAGCAATTCTTGAAATTCTCTGCTATTTCCAGATTCATATTTTAGAATACCTACTAACCTCTCACAATGCTACTGGGCCTGCTTGAGCAAATTGATGAACAACGGGCGAACAGTGACAGTGACCTACTAACCTAGCTCTCTTCTCACTGATGGTTAACACTCTTTATTGAGAGAGCATGGAGGTCTAAGACATATATATATATATACATATATACATACATAAGCATATATGTATATATACTGCACGAGTTTAAAAGTATTATTCTGCTTTAACATATGACCAAATCCGACATATATGTATATATGTATACATATATATATATATATATAATATATATATATAATATTCCTTTAAGTTGGGCACACCCACATGCACAGGAGTGATTTCAGGACTTTTTCAGGGGCAGAATGATCAGGACTTTTCTTTCTTCTGGTTGTGCCAAAAATCAAATTTAAGCCTTCACAGGCAAAGCATGTGCTCTAATCCTTTAAGTCACTTCTGTGCTCCAACCCTTTGAACCATGGTCCTGGCCCAAAGCTAGTCAATTTATTGAGAATTCTGTAAACTCATTTTAGCATGTCCCTAAAATATGTCACATGTGGATTACATTTCAGAAACATCGCTTATACATCCTTTATTGATACAAGTTCTCTCTGAAGGCTGTTTTATAATAATAATTGTGAATAATAATGTCATCAATAAAGTGTTACATTTCTAAGCAAAAATCTAAGAAATACATAAGGTATAACAAAATCTTTCTCCTGAATCTAATAAATGAAGAATGCATATTGTTCCCAATCTATTCCTAATAGATACCACACGTTCACAGAAAATCTATCAAACTATCAGAATGCAGACTAGAGATAAAGAAAAAAAATGTTTACACTGAGAATATTCCAAACATTTCTTAGCCACAGAAATTTTCCCAGAGCTTTATTTTCATCACTATGAAGATGTGACTTCGTATTGACTATGTGGTATTTCACATAATGTTTAATTTCTCTGCAACTTAGTTCTGCATCTCCAAAGTGGGAATGATACTAATATCTACTGCTCTATTGGTATTGTCATATGAGTGGGGAAATGCATGGAAGTTCCTGTTGCATAAAAGAAACTAGCTCATTTCATATTACTATTAATCACAGTCTTACCATAAGTAGGCACTTACTACAAGCAATGGACTCCAAATGGGAATTTTATTTAGTCTTTATGTGCCACAGTGAACGTGCATAAAGTGGAGCAGATATTATCATCCACTTCAGAAAGCTGCTCCACGGACTAAATTAGATAATCCACACAAAATATTTACCACAGTACCAAGTATGAAGGGTTCAATGCATTCTATTGATTCAAAGTTACATTACATAGCAAATTTCCTAAGTATTAAGATTATGTCCTATGAGTCCTCAAGTTTTTAGAAACAGAAGTTTAACGGGTTTCAAAAGTGAGTACTTGAAATATGTAAAGACTCTATTTTTTTGTTTGGGTTTTTTTTTGTTTGTTTCTTTGTTTTGTTGTTGTTTTTTGCTTTTTGGGTCACACTCAGTGATGCCTAGGAGTTACTCCTGGCTTTACACTCAGGAATTACTCCTAGTGGTGCTTGAGGGACCATATGGGATGTTGGGAATAGAACCTGGGTCAGCTATGTGCAAGGCAAACACTCTACCCTCTGTACTATTGCTCCAGCCCCAAGACTCTATTATTTTAAAATATAAACTTGCTTAGAAATGGAGGTCAGAGAGAGAGTATAGTGGGTCGAGGATTTGTCTTGCACCTGGCCAAACTGAGTTTGATGGTTTAATGCCCAGCAAGCCATATGGGATTCTTAGCACACCAGGAGAGTTGTCTGAATGCAGATCCAGGAGTAAACCCTGAACAACACATGCTGTGTTCCTCTCCCCACCCCCGAACCCTCCCGGGAAAAAAAAACAGTGTGTGTGCTGGGGGGAGTCTTAAAATGGATTCAAATGGCATTTGTGTCTCAATATGAATTGCTCATCACCACTTAAATCAGCATTTCTACTTAAGAGCATTAGAAAGGAGATCATCTGGCAAAGGAAGAGTAGAGAGCAAGCTTCCCCTTTTAGTTCTAGGTTTTTCTTACATTTTTAGGTATTTCAAAATTGTAACATACAGATCAGAAACTTGCCCTTTTCGAGAGCTATGTGAATCCCAAGCTGGATCAACTCAGTGCTGAAGTAAAAAAGCAATGGCCAGAGTGTCTGAGAAATACCCATGAGTTACCTTTCCCAACTTGAACTCTTGTTATGGGGTCACTGACAAAGGCTTCTGGAGTACCAGTGTGTAGTCAAATGGTTATAACAGGTTTCTCTACAGGCTTGGGCCCTTCCTTAATTGAACCCTCCTGGACAAGCAACCAAATGTATACAAAAAAAATAAAGCCATATATTAAAACGTGGAAATGTTTTATTAAAAGAAATTTTATTATAAACTCACCTCATGTGGAGGAAAAGCTGCTATATATGACCCATTGTTTATAAGTTTACATATTCCTGGAAAGAGAAAAAGAGAACCATTCATGATTTAGTTTGGAACTTCAAGACTTCCCCATGAAATAGCTGACTCCTTGTGAACACATCACCAGCAGGATGTCATAAGGATACACATAGACTCTATCAGCTCCTTTCACAACTGCACCATGGGCTTAAGGTGACATGGAAGTCATCAGGTTCCTTTAATTACTTATGGAGTGCAGTGAGTAACTTCATGACTTTTAATTACAAGATACAACTTAATGTGGAGGTTTGCAAGAAGATTACATATGATTTCATGTTGCCTTATCGGAAATTATTGGGCATTTTAAAATCCATTTATTTGGGATCCCATGAACATATTTTTCTGCCTTTGAACACAAAGAACTTGACAGAAGCAGAGGAATTCTGTGGTCCCCTAATATCTAAGGAGACTATCAGTACTGGTAAGTCTTTCATTATTTAATATTTTTTTAAAAAGCCATAAATAGCAATATTTAACATGTCTTAAAATTGCCTCCATTTCAGTAAAAGAATGTATTGAAATGGGCATTCATCTTAATAATAATAATCTCAATAATATGTTTAAGAAAATTTTTCTGGGGTGAAAGTACAGGGATTAAGGTGCATGCATTGTCTGTGTGTGACACTACTTCAATCCCCGATTCACATCTCCAAGTGTATTTCTGAAGCCCCTTCCTGAATACTAGTGGGGTGGTCTGGGTAATCCATGGCAGAGCAGAACTTGAGAAGCACTATCCAGGGGTTGTAGGACTGAAACACTGGGCAGGTTGGTAGAGAATCACCAGGAGGGATCCCTACTTTTCTGAGCACTGTTTGGGATACACCCCCCTCATATACAACAAAAAAACCTTTTTGGTTACTTTACTACTAATACCAATAAAGAATTAAAAATAATTGTAACCAGATTTGTAAATTATTCAATTATTATGACATGACAAATTATACTAGGTGCTTACTAATTAATATTTGATGAATGTTTGTAATCTAATACAATACAGCTGTATCAAATAGTGCTTTTCGACATATTTAAGGATTTCAGAAATAACTGTAATGATTGCTTTTTACAAAGCAATAAAGAAAACTGCAACACTAGATGATTCTAAAATGTATCCCTACTTTAGGGATAATTTAAATTTTGCATTTTCTGTGTTTACTGATATTCTACAATGTAGACAATAGCTTTACAATAAAGGTCATGCTCAATTTTATAGATTGCATAAACATACAGTACTATTACTTAAACACATTTAGTTTTTAACTACAAATTTGTTTTTACTTTTTTATGTTTCTGTTTTTTAATTTTTTTAATGTCTATTTTATGTTTTAAATCACAGACTGTGCTCAGGGCTTTCTCCTGGCTTTTTTCTCAGAGATAATTACTGACAATGCTCAGGGAACCACATGCAGTGTCAGGGACTGAATTTAGGTTTGTATCATGAAAGGCAAACTCCTTAACCACGGTACTATATTTCCATTTCCTGATTTTGTTTCTTATTTATAAAATTTAATATTAAAAGCTAATTTTGTTTTGATCTAGGTTTTAGTATCTAGCAGGTATTTAATTAATTAATAAACTATTAATCAAAGATTAACAAGTCTGGATTCCTTTGTAAAATGGTTGATTTGAAGCAGTTCATTTATTTATGTGCACTCGATTTTTATGCAAATCAGTACAGACTAGCAAACATTTCCACAGGTTGCCAACGGTGGATTTCAAGGATTTTATTTTAAGATTATGTTTGATCAATTCTGCATTCTATATTTTTTTTAAGCAACATGTTGGTTATCTGTTGCCTTTTGCTCTACTATATGTAAACTTTGCACTTTATATTTTCTTGATGAAAAAATTTATTTTGATAGCAGATAGAGACTTATACTGCTAAGTAATTAAGCTAAAAATAGAGATTTAAAAAGTTAACATCGTTTTTTTCTCTTTGTAGAGAGAAGTTTAGATTTATTTTTGCTGGAGTAGAGGGTCATGCCAGGTAGTGTTCACAGTTTCCACCTTATCTTGTCTCTGCTTAGGATCATTCCTGACTGTTCAGGGATCACTCCGGGTGATGCTAAGGAGTTCATATATGATGGAAATAGTTTTTATTCTCTTTATGTGTGCTTACTTTAAAAATATATTTATGTGGTCTGAATTTTTTTTACTAATGCATTGCTTGCTTCTCTGAGAGTCAATAATCACTTCAACCTTCGTGAATAAAATTTCTCTGTAAAACACTGATATATAGCATATAATAAATGATAATTTTGTGTTGACTTAATGCATGCCATGATTTTAACAAATATGTTATATGGATATAGCATAACTTGTCAGTCCTGAATGAAGGATAGTTAAAGGATTTACCACATTAAATGCTTTTCTACATGTGTTATTATTCAAAAAACTTGACTATATTTTTGGAATTAATTTCAAGAAATAGCATTTCTCTTTCAAAGTGCTTGCATATTTTACATTTTCACGCATGGAGAGATGTCTTGCGGTGAGATGGGGGGTTCATATGTTCTGTCAGGGAAGGAACCTGGATTGGTTTTGTTCAACAAAGCACCTTAACCCCTGTACTGTCTCTCTGGACTCAGAAACTTTTGTTATACTCATAGTTCATATATGAAGCCAGAGCTTCAATCGTCAAAGCAGTATTTGGGGGTATAATTAACTCCCAGCATATTGTGTCTCAGAGAAGTGTCCTTACCCACTTTTGATATCCCATTTTCATATTTGGTGCGCTGCAGCATGTGGTGGACGATCCTGCTTCGGGTGGCATTGCTGAAGAAGGTGTCCTTATTGTTTATTATGAAGCTGTTAAGATGATGGGACTGTATTTAATATTTAAAACAGAGCACAGCATCTGGTCATAGTTACAAGTTCTTAGGTAAGCATCATCAGTTTTCTCCATTAAAATGAATACATGTGAAGTTTAGTAAATCAAAAGAAAAACCATCTGCTTTATAAAAAAAAATACTGACAGGAAAAATACACTCATAAATAATGCATGGCATTATCAAATATTCATTGTAATATTTTTTCAGTTTATAAGAAGTCTAGACATTCTCATATTTAGCCTGGAACAAGAGAAGAGTAGTCTGTTGATGCCCATCCATTTTGTACTACCTTAAGCAATGCAGTTCTAAACAGAGAGATTAAACATTAAACATTGATGTAATTCCCCTGTGCCACACTTTCCACACTAGCGTAACTTATTTTAAAACTTTAAAAAATGAACAAATGTCTCCCTTCTCCGGCATGCTCTGAACTGTCTGACACAAAAAGATTCGCTGTAAGGAAGAGCCGAGTGTGAGAGGCAATGACATAAAAATATAAAGTTTTACACGGATTAAGGAAGGGTTTTCTTTATCTTTTATCATAGATATACTTGGAGCCAGTCTCAAGGACAACAAGTGTTCGGGGCTTCATTCACCTTGAGGGAGTTTCTGTTTCCAGTTGTTTTCTCTTTGTTAGTAAAATCACTATTTTCTCCAGTACTTAATTCTCAAGTTCATGCTTTCTATGATCATTTTTTTGCCCGCATCTTCAGCTTTCATACTCAAACAGTTGCCAGATTAAGTAACTTTTGTATTTGAACAACCTGTCTCTGTAGTTTTGCACTGTTACTTGTTTTGGATTTTATCTTTGCGTATATTTTCAGATGTTTTAACTGACCGTCCAATTTCTCGCCTGATTTTAAAAGCACAGCTCTGATTCTTCATACTACTCTGCTCTTATGTCTCAGCAGCTCTTTATTATATGCATAATTGTATTTGCTGTTTTCTTTTTAGGTTTCATTCTTGCATTCCAACCTCTCCTCCAATCTTATTTATTATAGATCTGGGTTTATCATTCTAATTATCTATTGAGTTGCAGAATTTATCATCCCCTTGAAATTTCATGCTTATTTTTCCCCTCAAGATCTTGCTATCTCGGGGCTGGAGCGATAGCACAGCGGGTAGGGCATTTGCCTTGCACACGGCTGACCTGGGTTCGATCCCCAGCATCCCATGTGGTCCCCTGAGCACTGCCAGGAGTAATTCCTGAGTGCAAAGCCAGGAGTAACCCCTGAGCATTGCTGGGTGTGACCCAAAAAGGAAAAAATATATTGGGCTCCTCCTTCCTCCACTGCAGTTTCTTTCTCACTCACAAAAGTCTGGATTTTTGTGAGTTAGCCTGTGTGTTTTCCTAATACTTTTAATTAGTAACCTATATAATTGTTCTTTTTGAAAAATTATGAATTTCTATGCTATTCTAATCTTTTAATTGTGTACTGAAAAGCTCCAAAGTGACAGTTTGGTGTTCTACTAATGACAGGAATGAGGAGTGTCCAACATAGTCTTACCTGATACTGCATTCCCTGAGTATGACGTTGTGTGTGTGTGTGTGTGTGTGTGTGTGTGTGTGTGTGTGTGTGTGAAAAAGAAAATTTTACTTAAACTTATTTAGAAATATATGAGGGGAGAGGTTACTCCTAGCTCTGTGCTCAGGGATCACTTTTGGAAGGTTTGGGGATCCATACAAGATGCTGGGAATTGAACCCTATTGGTTGCCCACAAGGCAAGTGCCCCAGAACTGTACAATCTCTCTGACCCCAGCAGATACATTTCTTTTTTAATGGAATTCCATATGAAGGGAGAAAATAAATAATATATAAATAAATGAATAGATAATTTTAATAATAACTATGAAGAAAAATAAAAGAAAATAATGAGAAGGGATGAATGGAACAAGTCGAATGGATGACATTTAAAGAAGGTCTCTCTAAAGCGGTGATATTTAAATAGGAAATGAATTATAAGAGGGAATATGCCATGTGAATATATAGGACAAGGGAATGCTTGGAATGAACAAAAAGAACAAACAGAATAGTAAGAACAAAGTCTGAGATGGACTTAAGCTTAGGCTTTAGATGTGTGTGAGCTGTTGCTTATATGTCTGAAATAAGTGGTTGGATAAAGAACACAAGATGAGGAAATGGGCAAGGGCAGGGAATACAGCCTATGTGGTGACAAGGGACATGATAAAAAAAAAAATGTTTATTTTTAGTTCAAATGAATGACTACTAATGGAGGTGGGTTTGAGCAGGAGATTTTGAGGATCTGACTGAAACTTTTTTGGGGATCAAACTAATTTCTTGGATTTAAAAAGAAGAGAGGGTGTTTTATTTTTTAATTTGGTGCATTAACCTGAAAAAGTAGAGCAGAAAGCCAAAGCTTCCATGAAACTGTGACCTTTCTATGAGCCTAAAAGTTTTATGCCATTTGGATTGCCACTTTCCCCCACTTTCAATAGTTGAGATTAGAAACTATATCTCTAGATTTGCCTCTTAGGGTAAATAAGGAAAATAATAAAATATTTGAAAGGGGAGTATTTCCCATCAATTACTGGCTCTGTAATAGGTTTAGTCTTCTGAAATTTCATCTCATCTGCCTCTAAACTTCCTACATCCTACAAGACAGGTCAATCTGTCAATAGTCTATAGCAAAGTAGTCCTAAAATACACTATATTTATTTATATAGACACTTTCTTACATCCTTACACTAAATTATGTATGAATTCAATACTCATGTAGAAAATAGCCTGAATGAATAGGCACAGATATTATTATAGACATATATATTCATAATAAAAATCATACAATGGAACCCTAAAATTTCTGTTTCACTTCAACTTTGTAAGATCAATCTAATAATAAAATTAAAATTTTTATAAATTTAACTTAAAAGGAAGTTAAATTACTGGTGCATGTCGACTAATTGTAAATATAAATATAACATTGATCAGAACATTTTATTATTCAAACATGACGTTTATGATGTCTAACAATAATTCTGTTACTTTTATCATCATCATTTTGTTGCTTTAACTAGGAGAATTGCTATCAGAATGACATTTTGAAATAGTTGGGATATAAATTATTAGTCAATGAGTTTTTTATTCAATATTTGAAACTCTAAACAACAGTGATTAAAATTAATAATACTGAATATGGACATAAAGTTAAAGTAACATCTAATGCCACGGTATATTTTCTGACTATTGACAACATTCACACTGATTTTAGGTATCAATGTTCTACCAATAACAGTTCCCTGACCATGAAAAATACCAATGCAGATGGTACGGGCATAAAAAGAGAAATGAACTGACTGGTGAATCCGGGCACGACTGAAGGGGCCAGTGTAGCAGTCTGACTCCTCTAGGTCTGGAAATGCAGACTTGTCAAGAACCATTGGGTTTTGGGATATCCATTTTTTTATTCTTCTAAAATAGCTTTGCACCCTGGAACAAAAGTACATATTAGAATTGGATTAGGTTGTAAGCTTAAGAAAGCCTTGTTCCCATTACCATTCCAAAAACAAATTTAAAAAAAATACATAACCACACACTCACAACTACGCAAACACTTTTCTCCAATTCCCACACAAATTAAATCTCCATAACCAACAAGTCATGCATTTCTTTAAATTCTTTCAGGGAATGTAGGTTATCTTCATGCAGATCTGCAATCTTATGGAAATATTTAAAGACTTCTAACACAGAAGAATAGGGATAGGAAAACTACAACAATAAAGTCAACATCATATTAAGCTTTGTGCAAAAATATGCATTTTATATCAATATGCAACTATAAATCATTCCCTAGTTCATTAAAAAAATCACATCTTCATCAGTGTATATAAATGAGATGCAGACAGGAAAGAAATAAATGGCTGTGCCACCTTTTTTCAGCAGTACTGGGGGCTGTAGCATGATGGAAATAGCAACAGTTTTGAAACTACTGAAACAAAATTTGATTCAAAGGAAGTTCTGCATTCAATAGGAGCTGTGTAAACTTAAGCAAGTTATTCACTGCAATGTATCAGTTTTCTCACTGAAAAATATTAAATAATATTAAAATACTAAAAATACTAAAATAATACTGACCTCATTATGGAGAGGAAAGTTGGTGCTCTACTTGAATTTAATCATTAACATTAAGGAACAAAGGCCTTTACGATAGTTTTAAAATTTCCAAGATCAAATTAATGACCTGAAGATTTTGTTGTTGTTGTTGTTGTTGTTGTTGTTGTTTTTAAAATACTACGCCAACTGAGTGTAATTAAGATAGAAACTAAGATTCCATTTCCATCTCATTCAGGTGCTCATGAGCAAGATATGATTCTCACTTTAAGTAATGAATTTGGAATCTATATAAACATAAACTCAGATCATAGCACTTTGGTGCTAAATTCATTTATTTACTTTGATAATGCCAGAAATAAAGCCCAGGGTCTTCTTCATAGAAAGTATCTGCTCTACTACTGAGCTGCATACACAGTACATGACCCTAGGCTTAGAAAACAGTCATAAACCAATTTTAATTGTGATCTGTATAGTGACAGAGATCATATTTATTTTACAAAGTGAAAAAAAGCAAGATTGATAATAGAGATTAAAAATTTAAATTTTGAATATTATATTATTTAAAAGTGCGCTATGCTTACACACTACTTTTGATATTCTATTTTGAGGAAATTTTTGGCTTCTTTTAGAATAGAAAGTAATGGTATCAGGATAGAATATATATTTATTTTTAATTTTATTGAATCACCATGAGATAGTTACAAGCTTTCATGTTTGGGTTACAATCACACAATGACCAAACACCATTCCTCCACCAGTGCACATTCCCCACCACAAATATCCCCAGTATACCGTCCAATTCCCTGCCCTCCCCCTGCCTCCATGGCAGATGATATTACCCATACTCTCTCTCTACTTTTGGACATTGTGGTTAGCAGTGCAAAGAGATGTTATAATGTTGAATATTTTCTTAAATCAGTATAGCGTATCTTTGGCCAATATGTCTTCAATGTTAAAAATAATTAGCAAAGAGCTGGAGAGATAGCTCAATGAGATGGGCTTATGCTTCATATGTGGGGGGACCAAGGCAAATACCCAAAACTACTTCATTCTCTGATTGCCATTACAAGCAACCCCAGAGCAAAGATGCAGAAGTAGCCTTTGGCACCATCACATATTGCCCTACCTCCCCCCACAAAAATACACATCAATAACAATCAAAAACAACATACTGAAATATACAGATAGCTAATATTACATCTTAACAATGATTTCATCATGTTAAAAATTCATTATTTTAAAGTTATTGTATTTAATTTTAAATAAGAATTAAGTCCTGAAATAAAATCTGCCAATAAGGTTTTATTTGTTAATATGTCACGTAGGTTTTTGGCTTGGGAGTATCAAAATGCTTCTTCCAGACAAAAAAGTGAACAGAATAGCAATAAATGAACTAAGATACTTATTTTACTGTCTCAAAAAAAAAATGGTGACAATTGAGCAAATCGATGAACAACGTGAGGACAGTGACAGTGACTTATTTTTCTACTTCTCATTATAAAAACTCTGAAATCACAAAATATCACTAGTACACGGACACAAAAAAATAAAATAATGATACATTAAATTTTCTGCAGCTTTTAAAATTTATTCTATTGAAGAAAGAAATGAGACTGAAGTTTCAGGATGAGTGTTCTAGTACTGAATGTGCTACTCATTGAAATTTTGCCCAATTTTTATAATATTTGAGCTTCGGGTTCCTCATCTCCAGAAAGGAAATAATTCATTTCTCAAAAGGTAATGAGGTAAATAAAAGGTGTAATTTTGACTAAATCTAGTAAAAATTGATGGACTGCCTCACTAAAGAGTCTATTGTTATCTGACAAAATTACACACATACAAGATTTAAATAGGGATTTAAATTAAATAAAATTAGAGGGCCTTTAAAAATCTACCCTATATTCTAACATAAAATAAACAGTATTATACAGTTAGTTCTCTCATACTCACTTTCTATTAGGCATGGATTTGGCTCAAAGAAGGAAAGTCTATAGTCGTCTATATTAATGTTTAAGTTAATTTACTAATCATCTGTGATAACAGACAATTTTCATTTAATATCGTAAAATAAAAATAAGCACTAAAGTTAATAATATACTACAGAACATATATACTAAAATATACTACAGAACATAGTATATTGTTCATTTTTTAAATTTACTTTAAAGCTTGTCAAAAATAGAAAATAAAAGCACTTTTCTTATATTAACAACAGTTTGTTTAGGACTTACAATAGCCAGGTTGACCATGAATTATAAGTATAAGTTTATTCTGCAACTAAATAATAATAGCATTACATAGACATTTGATGCTACTTTATATATAGTTATTTATCCCTTTTCAAATTTCTAAACATGCTGTTATCAGTAAATTGAGTTATTCATTCTCAACAAATACCAAATTATTTATCAACAAATCTAATACTAAGCAGACACATGCAGAGAAAAACAAGAAAATCTGCAATTGTAAATTTATATATCATAATATCTAATGACTGGGGGTATGGTGCCGCCAGCTGGTCAATCTGTACCTATGAGGCGAGTGCAACAGCAGCCTGATGGAGCCTTCAGACTTCCAGATACTCCAAAATTGCTGCTATGCCTTTAGCCTGACCCCAAAAACTTGGGGCAAAGCTTACCAAGAAAGTAAATGGCCAAAATTTAGGCATGTGGGAGACACACCCACTAACCACCTTTGGCTCAGCTACATAATTGGAGGCATGGCCTCTCTGGTTCCTGATCAAACTGCTTAATGGCCATGATCCCAGAGACTCAGAAACAAATCTTGAAACCCAACAGCTTTTGGCAGAAATGTGTCCAGTTCCTGCAGTAGTTTGTTTACCAGCGCTGGGCCAACCCAGGTGGGAATAGGTTTCGTGGCTTGGCCTGTTCCTGCTGGCGGCCGGGTGGCTGCCATCCTTGAGAGGCCACTGGACAGTCAGATTTGGGCTGCAGTGATGAGACATGCAGGGCCCCATGGGATGGGAGTGGAGCCAGCCCTTTCCTCCCCACCCCAACAAGACCCCCAAGCCGCCGCCCACGAACAGCCTCTATGGCTCCTGATCAAGCAGCTTAATGGCCATGATCCCAGAGACTCAGAAACAAATCTAGAAACCCAGCGGCTATTGGCAGAAATGCGTCCGGACCCCGCAGTAGGTTACTGTTGCTGGGTTATCCGAGGGATGAAAGGGTGCTGTCCCTCCGCCTGCTCCCCCATGGCAGCTCAGTGGACACCATCTGCCAGAGGCCATTGGACAGTCAGGTTTGGGCCCGCAGTGATGAGACATGCGGGGCCTCACAGGATGGGGGTGGAGCTGGCCCCTTCCTCCCTACCCCAATGAGACCCCAAGTTGTTGCCCATGAATGGCCTCTCTGGCTCCTGATCAAGCTGCTTAACAGCCATTATCCAAGAGACTCAGAAACAAATCTCAGAACCCAGTGGCTTTTGGCAGAAATGCATCTGGACCCCACAGTTGGTTACTATCACCGTGCCACCCCAGCGGGGAAAGGGTGTTGTCCCTCCGCCTGCTCCCCCTGGGCTGCTCTGTGGCTGCCATCCTCCAAAGGCCACTGGACAGTCAGATTTGGGCCCTCAGTGAGAAGACACGTGGGGCCTCACGGGATAGAAGTGGAGCCAGCCCTTTCCTCCCTATCCCAACGAGACCCTGAGTCGCCTCCCATGAACGGCCTTTCTGGCTCCTGATCAAGCTGCTTAACAACCATGATCCAAGAGACTCAGGAACAAATCCTGGAAGCCAGCAGGTTTTGGCAGAAATCCCTCCAGATTTAAGTGTTAAAATTTCGGAATTTCAAAATACACAGCCACTACTGCAGCCACACACATATATGTTATTCTTAATGAGCAATAGGACACAAATGGTCTACTGTTGCCTTTTCAGCAGATCGGAGTGTTGGGGTAAAATCCCAAATAATAATAGTGGGTCTGGTGTCAAAATATTGAATGTGATCAAAGTAGAGAGAGTAATGTGGAAATCACCTGCCCCCCAGGTAGGGGGAGGGTATGAAATGGGGGTATACTGGGGTTTTGGGGGGGTGGAGAATGGGCACTGGTGAAGCTATGGGTGTTTCATTGTATGACCGAGACTTAAACCCGAAAGCCTTGTAAATGCTCTCACGGTGATTCAATAAATAAAATTATGAAAATTAAAAAAAATAATATCTAATAACTGATGTTACCATGAAAATTTGATTCTGAAGTTTACTTCATAGATCAGGATTAAAAACAAACAGGAGAAATAATAAGGTTTCATTTAAATTACATCATGTTAATCTGACACAGAAAATATGAATTGATGAAGGAACACTGTGAATTAAATAAAATTAGTCATATAAGTACCAATTTGCTTAATAATTATTCAATTTTTTCCTACATGATATTCTTCTTGCCAATTTTTCCTATCATACCTAAAGTTAATACTTAAAATAGAACATTCTCCTATTCAAAAAGTCAAAAAAGAAATTTCTGTCCTAAATGTCAAAATTATATTCAGCCATTTCCTTTGGTCAGGAACTAGATTTATTTAATATATTCAAAATGGTCTAATATCCATACTATTTGAGTCTTCCAGTTTTCATGTAATTCTGATTTGTTTTATTCTGAAACATACTGCACTACATCTACCTTTCTTTTCATTAAATTGTAAGGAACAGAGAAACAGCCAAGATGTATTAGAATCCTTTTGTATGAGCATTCATGAAATGAAATACATTAACTCCAGGGGGATCAAGGACATTCTGGTGGACGGGCTTCTTCTGCCACAGGGTTGTGATTCAATTAATTCCTTTGTCATTAACATAGTTATAAAAAATGGTGGGATATGGAGATAAAGCTTTGAAAATAAATTTATTTTTGATACCAGATTAAGAAAGAATGCTTCAGGTAGTGTGAGAAATGCAAGTTTGAAATTCAAATGATGCTCCATGGCCTAGAAAATGCAAGACTTTCACCCATCACAGCTGTCAAATAAGATACTTAGGTTCCATGCTACAAAAGGTCTTTTCTGAGTTTTTTCTATAACTGTAGTAGATCAACTTATCCATTGATCATGGTTTTGAAATAAAAATTTCCTAAAATGTTAGTTTGAAAGTAAGATGATCTTTATTCATTATTTTATCAAAAGAAATGTCACAAGAATGAGAATGATTTGAGGTCAGAAAGATAATACAGCAGATTAGATTGGCAAGTGATTGATTTGGGCTCAATGCACAGTACCCCATGTAGTCCCGAGTCCTGCTTTGAGTGAGCCCAGGGCATAGAGCCATGAGTAAATTTTGAGTACTGCCAGGTGTGGCCCAAAAACAAAGTTTTTTTTTCTTTTTTCAGAATGATAAGTAGATGGGAGAGAGAAATAGAAAGAGACAGAGACAGGGAGAATCAGAGAGGGGAAAAAAAAAACAAAGAGATCAAATTTTAACAATATTTTGCACTGTAGCACTGTCCTCCCATTGTTCATCGATTTGCTCAAGTGGGCACCTGTAACGTCTCTATTGTGAGACTTGTTACTGTTTCTGGCATATAATATACATCAAGGGTAGTTTGCCAGGCTTTGCCATACATGCGCAATATTATTGGTAGCTTGATAGGCTCTCCAGGAGGGGCAGAGGAATAGAACTGGAGTCGACCCAGATTGGCCGCATGCAAGGCAAACGTCCTACCTGCTGTGCTATCACTCCAGCACAAACAATATTTAATTTAGCATTAAACATTGTTTAAATGAGGTAATTTGGAAATTCCTTGGGCAAATAGTTTTTTTTACCCTAAAATTTACAACTGGTAATATAAGTAATTACATTTTTTAAATTTATCTTTTTTCCGAAAGATTTCTGAAAAATTGAATGCAAAAAAATTAAACATCTCCCACAAACCTGCCAATTGATTTAATCCTCCGGTCAGTGTAATAGCTTTTTTTCCTGAAAAAGAAAAGAAATCATCTGAGGAAAGGTACATGAAAATACAAGACAGGCATATTGAACATTTTAACATAACAAATTCCATATTCTCAAACTTACCTGAGAGATAATTATTGTTATTATGTGAGGATATGTCTGCACTGAGACCCAGCTCCTGTGTTATACAGAATCAGTGAGCTTGCTTTCTAGCGAAGCTTACCATCTTTTGCAGAATTGCTTGTGATAATATTGTACAGTGTTCTAGCTTAATACTTAACCAGTAGCTTGTATTTTTTCTCTATTACCTTTGTGGAGAAGTTTTTAGGAGCTGGAAGATTTTGTTTAAAATGATGTTTTCAAAATATTAGGCTTAGAAGTCAATAATCACCTTCAATATTCCTTCCACAATTTGCATATGGGAAAGTACATGACAAAATAATTTTCTACCTATACTTTTTTGTTCTATAAATAACTGTAATTTATCATGCTTATGTACCATGTTTTCTTTACTTTTGTCTCAACTTGTCTTTGGGAAAATTCTGCTATGTTTATTAAGGAGATATTTTTCAATTTATTACTGTAACTACTCAACAGTATAGTAAATACTAGTTTCAACCAATATTAGACAATTGACCACAGGTGGAGATGACAGTGGGTACAGTGAAAAAGGTTGTCACTTGGGTGCCACTCTCAGGGTCCCTGCACTTTGTGAGATGGAGCTATTCCACTTTACTCAGTACAGTATATTCTGATGCATGCATATTTTAATTTTTAATTTAGATGTTTTTCGTATAAGGCAGTAATTTCAATTTAATTTTGACTGTGCTAAAACTATTATTCTTATTTTTATAAGAAATTATTCTACGAAATCTGTCTGTCCAAATTTTCTTAAGAGAAAGAGCTTGGAAAAAATGGAAAACTGATGTCATACATGAATACAATTTAATCAGCTACAGCGGGTAGGGTGTTTGTCTTGCACGCGGTTGACCAGGGTTTGATTCCTCTGTTCCTCTTGGAGAGCCCGGCAAGTTACTGGGAGTATTTCACCCACATGGCAGAGCCTGGCAAGGTCCCCATGGTGTATTCTATATGCAAAAAATAAGTCTCATAATGGAGATGTTACTGGTGCCCACTCAAGCAAATTTATGAACAACGGGATGACAGTGACAGTGACAGTGACAGAATAAAAAAGTCATAAGAACTGCTTTTTCCCCTAGAGTGTGCGGCTGGCCTGCAAGCCATGGAGTAAACCTCCTAGAAGGGAGGATCAAATAAAGGGTTTTGGAGGGTCCTCCCAGGATGGGAGATGCATGCTGAGAGTAGACTTTAGACCGAACATGATTGCCACTCAATGCCTTTTTTGCAAATCACAGCACCCAAAAGGAGAGAGAACAAAGAGGAATGCCCTGCCACAGAGGCAGGGTGGGATGGGGTGGGGAGGGCAGGGGGTGAGAGAGATAGTGGGATCAGTGGTGGTGGAGAATGGGTATTGGTGGAGGGATGGGTATTCAATCATTGTATAACTGAAACCCAAGCACAAAAATTTGTAAATCTACAACTGTACCTCATGGTGTTTCACTAATAAAAATCTAAAAAAAAAAGTCATATAAAGATATACTTGACTATCAGTGTGAGAGATGGGTTAGAATGAACAATAATCACCTTTAAATCAAAGTAAAACAATAAGGACTGCTTTGTTTTTTATACTATGTGGAAGGCACACAACTTTCACAACTTTTCTGATAAGATAAAAGTGTTCGTGGTTTTGAAATATCAAGTTCAATATGTATACTATACTTACTTTGGAATAATAATTAATAAAATAAATAGCTAGAAGTTTTAGGTATATAAAGTGTTTTACTTTACTAAAGCAGAGTATTCAAATAAACTTGTTGCGCTTACATATTTGAAATGAGAAATTACATATACTCTTAAATGTGCAATATTTAATAGCGTCAACTGTATTTTCCATCATGAAAATACTTTGCTATCATTAAAATGCAATCAATTAAAAATATTGATTTGGGAGAAGTTTGGGGCAGTACTGGAGGTTAAGCCCACGGTCTCATTCATATATGTACATATATGCAGCTGTACCACTGAAGAGTTGCAGTTCAGCATTCTTATTTTATAAATTTACACTTTCTCAAATTTCAAGTGCTACATTGTAAGCAAATGTGAATTTAGTCACTAAGATGTAATACTATTTCTATTATTTCAATAATAGAAAAATAAAGAAGTTACATGAAAGTCATAACATTGTAGATTCTAATATCACTGCATTTATAACCCCCGTAACAGACCTCAGTAGAAGTATATTGATTCACTTTGGTAGTGAATTAATAATAAAACAAAATAATTATCTAGTTGTGAATGGGCTGGAGTGATAGCACAGCGGGTAGGGTGTTTGCCTTGCATGAGGCCAACCTGGTTGACCTGAGTTTGATTCCTCCGCCCCTCTCAGAGAGCCCGGCAAGGTACCGAGAGTATCTTGCCCACATGGCAAAGCCTGGCAAGCTACCCAAGATGTATTCGATATGCCAAACACAGTAACAACAAGTCTCACAATGTTACTGGGCCCGCTTGAGCCAATCGATGACAATGGGAGGACAGTGACAGTGACAGTTATGATTCTCAAAGTTAAAATTTTGGGTCAGCCAAGACATTTGCCTTTTTGCAGTAATAATTAAAACAGCATGGTACTGGAACAAAGGCAGAACTGCAGACCAATGGAACAGGGTTGAATACACTGACATCTCTCCTCAATCATATGCTCATCTAATCTTTGATAAAGGTGCAAGTAATGTGAAGTGGAGTAAGGAAAGTCTCTTTAATAAATTGTGTTGGCATCACTGGACGGCTACATGCAAAAATATAGGCTCAGAACTCTGCCTAACACCATGTACAAAAGTAAGATCAAAATGGATTAAAGACCTCAACATCAGACCAGAAACCATAAGGTACATTGAAGATAAAGTTGGCAAAACCCTCCATGACATTGAAGCTAATGGTATCTTCAAAGATGCCACGCCACTGGCCGAGCAAGTGAAAACAGAGATAGATAAATGGGACTATCTTAAACTAAGAAGCTTCTGCACCTCCAAAGAAACAGTGACCAAAATACAAAGACAGTCTACAGAATGGGAAAGGATATTCACCGAATACACATCTGACAAGGGGTTGATATCCAGCATATACAGAATACTGGTTAAACTCCACAAGAAGAAAACATCCAACCCCATCCAAAAATGGGGCAATGAAATGAACAGAAACTTTCTCAAAGAAGAAATCCGAATGGCAAAAAAGCACATGAGAAAATGCTCTACATCATTAATCATCAGGGAGATGCAGATCAAAACCACAATGAGATACCATCTCACACCTCAGAGACTGGCCCACATCCAAAAGAACAAAAGCAACCGATGCTGGCGTGGATGTGGCAAGAAAGGGACACTCCTTCACTGTTGGTGGGAATGTCGACTGGTTCAGCCCTTCTGGAAAACAGTATGGACGATTCTCAAAAAATTAGAAATTGAGCTCCCATTTGACCCAGCAATACCACTCCTGGGAATATATCCCAGAGAGGCAAAAATGTACAGTCGAAGTGACATCTGCACTTGTTTGTTCATTGCAGCGCTCTTTACAATAGCCAGAAACTGGAAGAAACCTGAATGCCCAAGAACAGATGACTGGTTAAAGAAACTTTGGTACATCTACACAATGGAGTACTATGTAGCTGTTAGAAAAGATGAAGTCATGAAATTTACATACAAGTGGTACAATATGGAAAGTATCATGCTAAGCGAAATGAGTCAGAAAGAGAGGGATAGACATAGAAAGATTGCATTCATCTGGGGGATATAAAGTAACAAAGTATGAGATTAATACCCAAGAATAGCTGAGATCAGCACCAGGAGGATTACTCCATAACTTAGAGGCTAGCCGGGTATCCTAGAGGAAAGGGCAGTTCAGATAGAGAAGGGAGCACCAAATAAAGTATGTTTGGAGGATCCTCCCAGGAGGGGAGATGCATGTCGAAAGTAGACTATGGACTGAACATGTTTGCCACTCAATGCCTCTTTTGCAGACCACAACACCCAAAAGGAGAGAGAGAACACAGGGGATTGCCCTGCCACAGAGACAGGGGGGATGGGGGGATGGGGGTGGGAGGGATATTATCCATGGTGATGGAAAATGGGCACTGGTGGAGGGATGGGTATCTGATCATTGTATAATTGAAACCAAAGCACAAAAAATTGTAAATCTACAACTTTAAAAAAAATAAAATAAAATAAAGGGGAAAAAAAAAAGACATTTGCCTTTTTGTTGAATGAAGCTTCACTGATTAGTATTAAATATCTTGGCATCACTGCTAAGTATTAAATTGTATTAAATCCGCAGAAAAATAAACTGATCTTTTGGAATCCCAGGAAACCTCTATATTTATATGAAGTCCAGAGGAGACAAATAAAATATATACTTAGTTTTTATTAGGCATGTTACTATAATTTTCATTCTATATTCAATAAATGAAACCCACCATAGTGACATGGTATTTGACTCTATAGTTCCTATTTCTCTGACTATAAGAAGTTAGTATGCACACATATTCAACTATAACTTTCTTAGGAGCAATAGTCAAATCAAAATAAGACAGGGGACAAAATAGTGCAAATAAGTTACAATTATTTGGAAAATTTTAGCCATTTTATTCTGATTACAGAGACTGCATCATTATCCTCAGACAATGGTTTTTGCAACTGGTATTTAAACCATACATTCAATAATTTGTTTAAAAAATTAGATAGCTTTTGGGGCCAGAAAAATAGGACAGTGGGTAGGGCGTTTGCCTTGCATGTGGCCGACCCAGGTTCAATTCACAGCATCCCATATGGTCCCTTGGGCACCGCCAGGAGTAATTTCTTAGTGCAAAGCCAGGAGTAACCCCTGTGCATTGCAGGGTGTGATCCAAAGAGAAAAAAAAATTAGATAGCTTTTAAAAGTGATAAATAATAAACAAGTAATAAACAATAAACCCAGAATCAGGTATATCCAAAATTGACATTTTAAGCATATATTTTCTTCAAAATTTATTGCTATGTCTTTTACATTGTTAAATTTGAATTATATAAATATATATATATATATATATATACTCAAGCGGGCACCAGTAACGTCTCATAACAAATTGTGAGACTTGTTGTTACTGTTTTTTGCATATCAAATACATCACGGGTAGCTTGCCAGGCTCTGCCATGTGGGCAGGATACTCTCGGTAGCTTGCTAGGCTCTCTGAGAGGGGCAGAGGAATCAAACCCGGGTCGGCTGCGTGCAAGGCAAATGCCCTACCTGCTGTGCTATGGCTCCCCCAGGCAGAAATAATGGACTTTCAATATCTCATGTGCTACCCCAACCAGGAGACCTATTTCATTTGAGGACCCACTTCTCTGCCTGCCATAGATCATAAATTACAGATAAGGCCATTGAATCCCAGAGAGGTTAATAATGTGCCACGGTCACACAGATGGAAAAACATATAAGGTCACTCAATCTCAGAGAGGTTAATAACATGCCACCGTCACACAGCTGGGAAAACATTTTGTCCACAGTATATTGCACATGGGCTGGAGCGATAGCACAGCGGTAGAGCATTTGCCTTGCGGACAGCCACCCAGACCGAGCTGGGTTTGATTCCTACGCCCCTCTCAAAGAGCCTGGCAAGCTACAGAAAGTATATTCAATATGCCAAACACAGTAACAACAAGTCTCAAAATGGAGACGCTACTGGGCCCGCTCGAACAAATCATATAATATAGACTTAAAATTTTATAGACTTGTTGAACTTACACATTTTATAAATAGATTATATTTCACTGCCAGAGTACATTCTAATTTATTTAAATCTTCTATTATTAAATGATGCTATTTCTGTTTTTCATAATGTCATATAATGCACTGAATCTTTTTTACACATTTTTCAATTATAACTTTAAAATGGAAAGAAAAGACTATGAAATGTTGTAAGGCTCACTTTAAAACCCATTTTAAAGTTAAATTTCATAGCCCCATTAGAGGCTTAAGACCCACCACAAAAAATGAGGAGGGTATTTATCATATCTGTGCTGGGTATGATGATTTTATTCCTGGTAAAATTATCTACAAATTTCCTACATTAACATTATCTTTGTTTTGCTTTCACATGATTTTGCATAGCATGGGCATGTACAGAGCAAACAGAAAGAGATAAAGAACACAATTTAGATTTTTACAGGTTTCACAGTGTCAACAGGAAAAAAAGTTCTCAGAAATACAGAAACAGAGACTATACAAAGGCATATTCACCGAGCTGCACTCAGGATTAGATCAGCATAGTGACCTAGAGTAAAATCAATCTTCAAAATATCTAATCACAGCACAAATAATCTCTCATGGGCATTTTCTTCTTCTAGGAACCATGTTTCAGTACTTCATAAACTTCTAGTTCACTTATATATCTTATTCATCATTGATATAAGGTGAGGAAGAATTATAAGAATTTCATGTCCTTTTTGCTTTCAAGTTTATTACTATTTTTATAAATAGTTTTTATTTACACAATTCCATTGCTATTTATTTGCCAAGCACTTTTGATATAATTTTATTATCTCCTAGTAATCTTTTCATTGTCAAATTCTGAACCTTTGGCAAAACATGAATGTGAGTTAATATACTAATTATGATATGACTAGTAAGTTATATATCTTCCTTATAAAGATTTGTATACAGTGCATCTGTATGCATATAGAAAACACTCAAATTTCCTACCATTACTTTTAAAAAATTCTATTATTTTTACCCATACAGAAAGAGGAATAGATTGATCTTGAAAATAATTGCTTTTGCCTCCCTCAAAGAATATCTTAAAGTGGAGATAAAACTTTCAGGGAACCAAAAAGTTTCCACTTTCAGCAAGCATAAGTGAAGAAAACTAAGACTGTTAAAAATAACCTAAATCTGTAAAGAAAACATTTTCTCCAGAATAGTCACTTTGAGATAGAATAAAATAGTATTTGAAATTACCTGAATGGCATTCTTATGTTCAGCCTCTCTGCGTACTTGCATAATGTGTCCCATGGAATATGGATTTTAATAAACATGATATCAGGGTTAGCAACAGCAGGCTGCAAAAGAACAAGCACCATTATTAAAAATTAGAGTTGATGATATCATGTTATAGCTTTTGAAAGGAAATAAAGTTTTCTTGTCTGCACATGAAAGACATTAATCTAACATGGCCGACCCGAGTTCGATTCCTCCGCCCCTCTCGGAGAGCCCGGCAAGCTACCGAGAGTGTTCGATATGCCAGACACAGTAACAACAAAGTCTCCAATGGAGACGTTACTGGGCCCACTCGAGCAAAATAAATATACATGAATAAAATTATCAACACATAAAAACCTTAATGAAATGTAATAATGCCATCATACAATAATAATCACTTCTCAGTGTATTTGATTATACTGATCATTTTCAAGAACCCCAATAAGAATAATCATGAGCCAATTGGGCGTCTATTTTTTTGTTCTGTTCTGTTTTGTTTGGGGTAACCCCAGAGATGCTCAAGCCTTACTTCTGAATATGCTCTCATGGATCACTCCTGACAGAAGTTGGGGAACCAAGTGTTGTTCGAATCTGGATAGGCCACATGCAAAGCAAGCACTCTTCTTGCTGTCTGATCTCTTTGGCCTCGCAATCCAGCATTTTTGCTCAAGGAAATGAAAACATTGAGAGCTACCACCAGTCATTCATTAATTTAGTTATTTGTTCTTCCATATTTTAATTAATAGTACCCACTAAATCCTATAAAAATCTAGGTGAGGGGTGATAATGATGGGTAGGAGGTGTGGAGGGAATGATGAGATATAAGCAGAGATTAAGGCGTTCTGGTGAAGAACATGGCATAATAGCACACCACTGCACATGAAAAAACAACATTGGTTCTATATTTAAAAAATTATGTAAAAGAATTCTCATAAATAAAAAAGAAAACATCCCTAATACCGGGCTTGAGCGACAGCACAGCGGGTAGGGCGTCTGCCTTGCACGCAGCCAACATGGCCGACCCGAGTTCGATTCCTCCGCCCCTCTCGGAGAGCCCGGCAAGCTACCGAGAGTATTCGATATGCCAGACACAGTAACAACAAAGTCTCCAATGGAGACGTTACTGGGCCCGCTCGAGCAAATCGACGATCAAAGGGAGGGCCTTCTAATACCAGTAGTCTGAGGATTTTGGTTTTGTTTTTAGGCCACTCCTAGTTGTGATCTGGGTTTACACTAGGCTCTGCCTTCAGGTATCACACCTGATGACTCTACCAACTGTACTATCTGAGAATATTTTAAGAACCAAATAGTTGGGGCAGGAGCTATAGTACAGCAGGTAGGGCATTTGCCTTGCATGTGGCCAACCTGGGTTCAATTGCCGTTATCTCATATGGTCCCTTGAGCACCGCTAGGAGTAATTCCTGAGTGCAAAGCCAGGAGTAACTCCTGTGCATTACCGTGTGTGACCCAAAAAGCTGAAAAAAAAAAGAACCAAATAATCATAATACATTTAGATCTGGCTTACTGATAAAAATAAATTATTACTGAAATGATTATTATGGCTTTATATATAATTTGTGCTTAAATTCTACTCTACAAAATGCCTGGAGAGATGCTGTCTTAACTTATTACAACATCTGCGACCCGTAGGTTAGGGGATACTTTTGTGGTCTTTCTAGCAACAAATCCCACAGAGCTATCTTTCATGTTGTTTTAGGAGCTGTGTATGCATAAAGGAAAAAAATGGCCATTTTCAGTTATGTAGATATACCCACTAGTTAGACTTTAGCAATTTAACTGGTCTTTAGTTAATTAGCATTGATCATTTAAACTTTATCTAGATGGAATGTTTCAAAAACATTAAAACCATTAAATCTCGGGCTGGAGAGATAGCACAGTGGGTAGGGTGTTTGCCGTGCACATGGCCGACCCGGGTTCAATTCCCAGCATCCCATACGGTCCCCTGAGCACCGCCAGGAGTAGCTCCTGAGTGTAGAGCCAGGAGTAACCCCTATGCATCGCCAGGTGTGACCCAAAAAGCAAAAAAAAAAAAAATTAAATCTCGAAAAGTACAGAAGAAAAGTATCATGTATTATTTAATTATAGTTTATTGATTTAAATCATTTAATTAATTAAATTCAGGTTTTAAATGAAACCTGGGGCACTCTATGACATATAGTTATAATACTATAACGTGGAGGGTGAACTGACTACAACTGTCATTCACATGCACTGCACAAAGCAGCATTTGTCAGTTTGTTCCATGCAATACTACAGAGAAAAAATGCAGATAGGATAGAGAGGCATTCTATGACCAGGTAAATTTGGACTTTTTCACTTCATGATTTGTGATACTGAAATATATACGCATATGCCCCAGTCAAGAATGTGAAAAAGTAAGCTAAATTTCCTAATTTGTAGACCAAGAATGATTTCTTCCATGTAGCTCACTGAAGTGCTAGTATTTTCCAAATTGCCAGGGGAACAATAGCCCACAGTGCCTTGATAACATAAAATTTCCTGTATAGTTTTTACTTAGAATAGGTGTTTAAAATGAAAGAATACAGTAATAAAAATAATTGACAATGGCAAAAAGTATTGTAAAACTAGACACACACTTCTGATTTCAGACCGAGTTTTCATGCATGAACTATGCTTGAAAATAAACAATATGCATTTATTTTACATATACATTAAATCTTTCAAACACCTGTCTTTTTAAAAATACTTTTTACCCAGTGAGAAAGTAATATGGCACAGATCAAGGAAAGAGGGGAATAACAATGTTGTTGGTGTCTTTAGGTTATGAATTTCCCAAACATGTTGGAAGGTTTCTGTGCAAGAGTGGTATAAATAAATAAATAAATAACACACATACCAGCACACATAACACATACTTATAGCTTTAAATAGGATTTAAATGATTTCTTTATCTGAGACAAGAAAAGGAAGCATTTTATATTTTATTATATTCTTCCCACCTAATTCTTAAAAAAAAATTCATATAGTCCTACTTGTAACAAAGATCCTTTATATGAAGTAGCAGTATTGGTTACTGCTATTATACCAGTTTACCTTTCTTATACCAAATATATTTTAACTTTGATCCTAACTGCCAACTTATTTCTACCATATGCCAGAAATAAGTGTCCACAACCACAAAGAATGAAATACAAATTCCATGCCTATTTCATGACCATGAGAAAACTATTTAATGTATCATCCTCAGTTTTTGACCCTTGAGAAATGGAAATTTCACTCACATCTCTCTCTTTAATCTTTCCTTCTCTTTTTCCTTCTATAGAGTGGAACATTTCCTTTGGTCTTCAAAGCTTGCTATACTGTAAGTGGCCTTTAAATTGTACAAGCATGAAAGCCAAAGATAACTTATACTTCCGGGGAGATTTAAGTAAATTCACTTGGATCAAATGACTGAGGAATTAATTTATTTCTGGCATAATTATATAGTATATATTCAAACTTGGTATAAACTATAATATTACAATATTCTGTAGGTTTCAGTTTCTTTTAAACGCTTTTTTTCTATGTATATATTTGAGTTTTCCTATGCTTACATGGTTTCATTCATTATTGGGAAGATGTAGGGTTTTCTCAGCAGTTATTCAAAGACTAATAGATCAAGAACTTCAGGGTTACTAAAACTATATCTAGAACTTATTTTCCTGCAATACAGAAAACTTTTATGAAATGATTCAAGTAGCACTGTTCCACTGTAGCACTGTCCTCCCATTGTTCATTGATTTGATTGAGCAAGTGGGAACCAGTAATGTCTTCATTGTGAGACTTGTTGTTTCTGTTTTTAGCATATCAAAAATGCCACGGGAGCTTGCCAGGCTGTGCTGTGCCTGCAGGATACTCTCGGTAGCTTCAGCTTTCCCGGGCTCTCCGAGAGGGATGGAGGAATCCAGCCCAGGTCAGCCACATTCAAGGCAAACACCCTACCCCCTGTGCTATCGCTCCAGCCTATTCAAGTAGAATCAGAAAAAAAAATAATTGCCACCAGAGAGACATATTCAACATGTATATTTACTTAAGATAGGCGATCTGAGAAGTTCATGAATGCATTGTGATCATTCTTTTCTCTCTAAGGAGTGTTTCCTTTGAGTTGGAAATGAGTAGTATTGTGAACAGGAAGATTCTGTAACAAAAAGCAGCTCTGTGGGATGTTGGTTTTGTTCTACTGCATATGGACATCTTTTTCTCTCTCCCAGAATCTTGATTTCTGAACTCTGGGAACACTGGCTATAGTGTACAGTACTAGTGTGAAGAGTGACAGACAGATATTGGGAGAGATCTGGGAAGGCTTAAGTGCTACACCTGGGTAGCAGTTACAAAAAATTTGAGTAGCTCCTGAATTGTTTTACCTAGTAGAACATCCTAGAATTGAATGACTTATCACTTCTACCACAACTACCTAGATCAACCCATCAACATTTCTTCCTTAGGTTCCAAAAGTGCTTTATAACAGAGCCTTTCCTCATACTCATTCCCCAAGGGTATTCATTGCACCAGAAACTTTAAATGTAAATCAGATTCTTGTAGATCTAGCTCAGAAAGCACTTGTCTGGCATGTGTGAGGATTGATCCCTGGGAGTAAAAAACAAACAGAAAATTCAACATAAAGTAAGTCACAATATATATTTTCTCAGAACCCCATATATTCAGAATGAAAAGTTCTTTGATGATTTATACTGCCACTTATAAAAACATCCTAATACCTGGCTCATCTTTCTTAAATGTCTTTAACTCAATCCACTTTTCTTTATTTAGTAGCTTGCTTCTATTTGTCTACCCTTGCTTTAGCCTTTTCATCACACCATAGTCTCCTTTCTATAGCATTTATAGGATTTTCTCCCTTCAAAATAGAGAAGTTAATCATTTAAATGACATGACATCTTTGTTTTGTTCACTTATGTGTCCCAAGTACCTATTTCTATGCATGCACTTAGGAGTCATTCACTAAGACTTACTGAATAAATTACTGTTTGAATACGTTTTCTTATTTTGAGCACACATTCTATGAAATCTGAACATAAGCAATACATGTTGAGGATAAGAA